ACTACTGTACTGACTAATTCAGCATGACAGGTTAAGTAGTGCTTTGGTTATATATATGCAATTGCCATACTGCGGCATTTTTCTCTATCTTTTCTCCTTTTCAGAACCCAATTAACAGTGGGAAATCCTTGGCGACTCTAGGGAACATGCACCCTATGCACATGACTGTCTGGATCACAGCTCGTATCAAGCGCGTTCCAATTGACCTTTCCCAACAAATTCACTATTGATCTCGGCCAATCGCCAATAGAAGCTATTGTGCACCTTCCTCATTTGTACTCTACTATTGAAAATGTGGCTGTATTATACTGTTTCTGTCAGTGACATGGTGTAAATATGCAATCAGAAACTGACTCTTATACTTAATTTAGCAGCTATAACTTCACAGTAATTGTGAAAGCATTTGTGACAATTTGATCTAGCCTGTAAACTGGCGTGACTCTTGTAACGTAGTTATTTGAGAATAAACATATTATTAATATTAAATGCAAGAGATTTTAGTGGTAACCGGGGTGAGATTGACTATCAGTCACTTACTTACTTATGCCTGTTATCCCCAAAGGAGAATAGGCCGCCCACCAGTTTCCTCCGACCAACTCTGTCCTGGGCTTCCCTCTCCAGTTCTGTCCAACGTTCGTTCATTCCTCACACATCTTTCTGTATTGTTCCGCGTAATGTGTTCCTTGGCATTCCTCTTTTCCTTTTGCCTTGAGGGTTCCATGTGAGGGCTTGTCTCGTGACGCAGTTAGGTGCTTTCCGCAATGTGTGTCCTATCCACTTCCACTGCTTCTTCCTGATTTCCTCCTCCACTGGAATCTGGTTTGTTCTCTCCCACAGTAAGTTGTTGCTGATGGTGTCTGGTCAACGAATACGAAGTATTTTGCGTAGACAGCTGTTAATAAACACTTGTATCCTCTGGATGATGGCTTTGGTAGTTCTCCATGTTTCCGCTCCATACATTAGAACTGTCTTGACATTTGTATTGAAAATCCTTATTTTGGTGTTGATTGATATCTGTTTGGAGTTCCAGATATTTTTCAACTGTAGAAATGCAGCCCTTGCTTTGCCAATCCGTGCCCTCACATCTGCATCGGATCCACCTTGATTGTCGATGATGCTGCCCAGATATGTAAAGGTGTTAATATCCTCCAAGGCATCTCCATCAAGAGTGATTTGGTTGGTGCATGTTGTGTTGCATCGGAGAATTTTGCTTTTTCCTTTATGTATGTTGAGACCTACTGCTGCAGAGGCTGCTGCTACACTGGTCGTCTTCTCTTGCATTTGTTGTTGAGTGTGCGATAGAAGAGCCAGATCATCTGCGAAGTCCAGATCGTCCAGCTGTGTCCTAACTGTCCAGTTGATACCGTGCTTCCCTCCAGATGTTGACGTTTTCATAATCCAGTCGATCACCAGGAGAAAGAGAAAGGGTGAGAGTAAGCAACCTTGTCTGACACCGGTCTTCACCTCGAAAGAGTCGGTTAGCTGTCCTCCGTGCACGATTTTGCAGTTGAATCCATCATAAGAATTCCGTATGGTGTTAACTATTTTCTCAGGCACACTGTAGTGTCGAAGGAGCCTCCATAGTGTTTTCCTATCCACGCTATCGAATACTTTCTCGTAGTCGATGAAGTTGATGTAGAGTGGTGAGTTCCATTCAATCGATTGTTCCACAATGATCCGTAATGTTGCGGTTTGGTCAGTACACGATCGATCCTTACGAAATCCGGCCTGTTGATCTCGAAGTTGGGCGTCTACGAAGTCCTTCATTTTGTTTAACAATACTCTGTTGATGATTTTTCCTGGTGCTGAAAGAAGAGTGATGCCTCTGTAGTTCTCACACTTGCTGAGATCGCCTTTCTTTGGTATTTTGATCAGGTATCCTTCTTTCCAATCTGATGGTACTTGTTCCTCATCCCAAATCTTCTTGAAGAGGATGTGAAATATTTTCGCGGTTGCTTCTACATCTGCTTTCATTGCCTCTGCTGGAATGTTGTCTGGTCCTGCTGCTTTGCCGTTCTTGATTTGTCTGATGGCCATACTGATCTCCTCAATCGTAGGTGCGCCAATATTAATTGGGAGATCCGTCGATGCTGCTTCGATGTTGGGCGTGTTCAGTGGAGCTAGTCGATTCAATAGTTCCTTAAAGTGCTCTACCCACCTATTTCGCTGTTGTTCAGTGTTGCTGATTACTTTGCCTTCCTTGCTTTTCACTGGTCGTTCTGGTTTACGATAGTTCCCGGCGAGCTTCTTTGTAGTTTCGTACAATTGTCTCAAGTTTCCGTCTCTTGCAGCCTTTTCCGCCGTCATTACTAGATCTGCCACATATTTTCGTTTGTCAGCTCTGATACTCTTCTTCACTTTCCTGTTTGCTTCTGTGTATGCAGCTTGTGCGGTAACTTTCTCTGCTCTTGTTCGGCTGACAATGATTGCTGCTTTCTTGTTCCTCCTTTCTTTAATTTTTTCAAGAGTATCAACAGAGATCCACTCCTTGTGATCGTACTTCTTGGCCTGGAGCCTATTGGAGAGGGTTATCTTGAATTCGTTGAGTTTTACGGTATCCCGAAGAAAGGTTGCATTAAACTTGTGTGATGTTGCCTGTCCCGTTGTCCAGTGTTTCCTGAGTTTCAGTTTTATTTTAGTTACCAGCAAGTGGTGATCTGAAGCTAAATCAGCTCCTCTCCTGGTTCTCACATCCTCCATAGTCCTTCTGAACGTTTTGTTGATATAGATATGATCAATCTGGTTTTGAGTAGTGTGATCCGGTGAAATCCATGTAGCTTTGTGTATGCGTTTGTGCGGGAATATTGTGCCGCCGATGACCAGTTTGTTGAAGGCACGTAGGTTTGCAAATCTCTCACCGTTTTCGTTTCTTTCTCCCAGTCCATGTCGTCCCATGATGTCTTCATATCCAGTGTTGTCCATTCCAACCTTGGCATTCAGGTCTCCCATAAGAATCGTCAAATCCTTTGGTGAGCATTTCTCGACGATTGACTGCAGCCTTTCGTAGAATTGATCTTTGTCGTCGTCATTGTAGTCGTTGGTAGGTGCATAACATTGGATGACGTTCATTGTAATGTCCTCTTTCTTTGTTTTGAAGGATGCTTTAATGATCCTGGGTCCATGAGATTCCCATCCTATTAGTGCCTTTTGTGCATGTTTGGACAGCATCAGTGCAACTCCTTGTGTATGTGAAGCATTTTCCTCTTCATGACCAGAGTATAACAGCAGTTCCCCTGAAGCTAGTCTCAGTTGTCCTACTTGTGTCTAATGTGTTTCACTGATTCCAAGCACCTCGAGGTTGTATCTTTTCATTTCTGCCGCAACTTGAAATAGTCTTCCAGTCTCCCACAATGTACGAAAGTTTCATGTACCTGAATGAATGGTTGCTCTGGTTGTCAGAAGAGGCATCGGCCCCGTGACTTCCGAGGGAACTCGGCTTTCATCACGCGACGTCATAATTCTTCTTCCAACTCCCAGGGCAGAGTTAAAATGGTTTGAATTATTTTTTCTGGTTAGCGTTTTTTTGGTAAGTTAGTTTTTGATGGAATGGGGTCGCCAACCCCATGTCCAACCCTCCTCCTTTATCCGGGCTTGGGACCGGCAGTAGCCCCGCAGTTTCTACTGGCGAAGTTGAGATTGACTATGATCACCACTAAATGTTCCATACTATCCCATAACTTATATCAAAATAAATCTATGTTTTAATGTTTTATTGAAAGAGAAAGTAGGCATTACATAGAGAGCAGCACGTTATGAAAAATGGCAGAAACGCGAAAAGAACGTTGCGCGCAAGAAATGCTTTTGGTACAGTTAAACAAAACGAGTAAAATAATGCTTATTTTTCACCAATTGCGTTTTCTTCGAAGAAATGTTCCACTACAAGGTTGTCAAGCTCACAGCTTATTCTAATCGCCTTCCATTCAGAACGTCCTAACAAATATGAACTTACAGACCTGTTCCTTCCCACTCCATTCTCAGTCTGGAAGTGAATGTCTCGGCCGCTGCATATGCTGTTTTGAAAGATCAGGTGAATTGACAGAGAAAATATTGATCAGGCTACTGCCAATATTACTGTAAACATTCATAACATCAAAAATATAAATAAACAAACATTTCGGACGTTACTTATGCTGTCAGCTAGATACGTGTTTGCTTTGTTATTGACATTCATAATTATTAATCAGTCAGTTTAAATATGAAATATATGACCTAGCATTTTGTAAAGCAATAATAGAGGATTAAAGGAGATATCAATGTAATCTGCGAAGTATAGATATCGAGAAGCCCAAATTAGTTGTTCCGCAGCCATCCAAAAGCTTCTGAAGTCAAGAGAAGCTAGGAAGTGAGTCTTTAGATTACCAGTATTGTAGAGAGATAGTATTGCTGGATCGTTGGTGGAAGACAATTACGACAAAGCTTAGGTATTCCAAGACTACGTGATCAGTGTATAATACATAGAATCGCCTCTCCCTTCAGTTCATGCAAACCCTTCCACAGACGCTCCGGACACCATCGCCGTTAAATAACTCGATGTCCTCGATCTGCTGAATAGGCTTGAATCAGGTTAGTCCATGAAACTCGATGAAAAACATTCCAGAATACTCAGAGAACCAACAAATTCGACCGCTAATCTCTTAGCTATATGTGTTACTTTATTTGTCGACCCAGGTATATTGCCGAAAGATTGAAATCACACCTAATTAAGTCCGGCCTTTAAAATGGGCGCAAAAAAAATTTGCGGACTACCAACTCGTAAGACTAACTGGCACGGTTATAAAAACCTAAGAGAAGATTTTTCGTAAGGGACTAAATGGCCGTTTCCGAATAGTTTATTCATATCCTACAAGCCTGCTCGTCGTCCATCTATTGGTTTATACTAGCTCGTGAAGAAGATATTGGAGGGACATTAGATCTCCGAAGGTCATCAACGTCTGACCTTGGATCACCAAGATTGTCACGCTTACGTGCTGCGTGTATTTTCTTCCTGAAAAGTCTTTATAATGAATGACAAAATCACTTCAAAAGAATTGCGACAACAATTTTTTGATTTTTTCAAATCAAAGGGACATGTTTACGTGCATTCTTCTTCTACAATCCCTCATAATGATCCCACATTACTGTTTGCAAATGCTGGGATGAATCAAGTAATGTCTCATTTAGTCATTATTTTCTTCAGTACAAACCTATCTTTCAAGGTACTGTGGACCCAAACAGCGAGCTCGGTCAGCTTAAAAGGGCCTACAATTCCCAAAAGTGTATCAGGGCCGGTGGAAAACATAATGATCTTGATGATGTCGGACGTGATGTTTATCACCATACATTTTTTGAAATGCTTGGGAATTGGTCGTTTGGGGACTACTTCAAAAAAGAAGCTTGTGAGTGGGCTTGGGAATTGTTGACGAAAGTTTGGAAAATACCAGCTGATCGTTTGTATGTTACATATTTTGGTGGTAATAGTTCAATTAATCTGCCCGCAGACGAAGAAGCGCGTGACATTTGGATCTCAATTGGGTACTGTTGTTGCTATAAAGAGCGATTTGGTATTTTTACAAACGTATATCCTGTGTGAAATTTGATGCACAGGCATATCTCCAGTAATAACGTATCGTTAAAAACCATACACATCTGTCATGTGATAAATATTTCGAACCATGCTCTATACTTTTCGTTTGAATAGCTGGTTGCTCCGCTTAAATAAGTGTTCATTTATTTAGATTTTTGACTTCCTACTAATGCATCAATATAAATCACCTACTGACGTCCGAGTAAACTATGTAATCATAATCTATAAGTTTAGATCATTTCCCTGTATAATCATAAATATTTGTGATCGGTTTTTCCCAAGTGCTGGTTTCCGGGTCAGTTCATTTAAGAAGGATTTCGTTTCATTTTCGGGAGTCATTACGGGTTTCAAACGTGGAGCATCTCACATGCATCTTGTAGTCCAAAATTTTTATCAACAGTTACTTTTTGACACACGATGCTTAGTACTTAGTAAGACAATATTTTTAATCAGGAGCGCAACATATATTTTTGTCCTAGTTCTAATCTCAATACAAGAGTAAATCAGCCTAAGATTGTAGAGCTGATCCGATGAGACAGCCTATCGTATGTGTTACCAATTTAATGTAAAAACCAAGCATAATGTACGGTTTAGGATGAAAGAAAATTCGATTGGAAGGGTATTGTGAGCATTCCGAAAAGCTGAAGGAGTGAGGTCATCGAGACAGATTTTAAGTAAAATCCCTTGATTAGTAAATACCAGTGATTATGTGTTGTAAGATATATGATCAGAAATTCACCATAGTAGACCATTTACATTTAGCATTGGCTGTTCAAGTTCCGAAAATCGATTAAGCGTTATCTCTCTTGGCTCCTCAGTTCATTTATTACTAGTAGTTAAGGGTTTCGCCTTTCTACCACGGGAATTCAGGTTTGAACCTCACCTTATCTTCCTTAGTCTGGGTAATCGGATGGTATCACCAACTGTCATACTTAGAGCCAGACTCAAAGTCAAGCATATGACAATAATAGAACCATAAACTTATTATTTTCTGTTATATCTTTTTATTTTTGTGAATTTTATTCTGTAAGAAAAGTTTGGTGATCGTAAATAGTACTCCTATATAAGGTTTTCCATAAATTCTATACACTTTCGAAAATGGATAGCTTTTAAAGCCCTACAGTGAGAAAATGTTGTCCCTCAATTTCCAACTTTTAGATCAAGAAATAACTTCAAGAATTTTGAAATGTCTTCGAGCATAGTACTGCTTACTTAACCTTGCAGTTGACGATAACCTTAGGCAGTTGTTGATACTTGAATATGACTTTATATATCTTCCATGCTCTTTTCGTAAGTCCCATAAGATATTCATTTCAACTAGTGTATTGTGATGGTCTAAATATAATAATTTTCTTTCGGATAGCGAAGCTATGTAATACTTGTTAGTTGTATGGTTACAAACTGGGACTCTCAAAATCAATCCGCAAGGTTGGTATTTTGCATTTTAAATGTTTGATTTTGTGATATAAAGTCACATACGAATTCTAAGTTATATAGATCCTTTCATTACATATTGTCTTTAAGATGCTTAAACCTGATTTCAACATTTTTAACCCGTTATTTTCTTTTATATCAAGTTTACCTAAGGATCATGTGCTTCCATTCGGCATGAAAGAGAACTTTTGGGAGATGGGTGAAACAGGTCCTTGTGGTCCCTGCTCTGAAATACACTACGATCGTATAGGAAATCGTAATGCTGCTCATTTGGTTAATCAAGATGATCCAGATGTGCTGGAAATATGGAACCTTGTGTTTATACAATTTAACCGGTATTTCTACATAATTTTTAAGTGTGTTTGTTTTGTCGTTTGCAGTTGAAGATATCATAAATAGATCAACTAAATGTTACTGCATGGAAAATGTCCTAACTTTAGTAACGTGTAATTACTACGTACTGTTGTTAACGTATTTTCTGAGGAGTCTATCTTTTTCATCTCATTAAGCTATGTTGAGATGATGTGAGTTTTCGAATCCGAACCAGCTGAGTGATGAACTCAAGTTGATTTCGACCAGTTTTGTTCACTTCTACAATATTTCACGCAATTACTTATCTTCACTAACATGTTTATTTATTTCCAATTATTAACATAATTTTAGATAATCTGGTCTTCCAAAGATTTCGGTTAAATCTGGAAAAAGTCTGTTTCGTAAGAAAGCACGGACAATATACTTTAAATTCTATGATATGACGTTTTACTGGTCAAGCTACAAAACCTGACTACTTATTAAATTTATTTCATGCCTTGAAATCTGTAGTGATAAGCTTCATATCTACGGTTTTAATTTTCAACTTATTTCCTCTTAGATTTTATCATTCCTCTGTACACCAGGTTGCGTCTTATAATATATATGCGTGTATATACTTGGTGATCACACATGGTACAATAGGCTTTGGCGAAAATCTTTTAATTGTAAATAAGGCGTTGTAAGCTTTTCGTAACCTATTTTTTCATCATTTTCAAGATAGTTTGACATTTATATTTTCACATCCTTTATTATTTCAGAGAAGAAGGTGGGTCTTTAAGAACTCTACCTGCAAAACACATTGATACGGGTATGGGGTTTGAACGCGTCTTATCAGTCCTTCAGAACAAACGATCTAATTATGATACAGACTTATTCGTACCTTTATTCAAGGCAATTGAAGCTGTAAGTTTTGGTTTGAATATTAAAGATTAATTGGTTATGAGTTAAATGATTGCTTCACATCTTACAAATACTGGGAATTTATTTATTTTCACTTTGTATCTTACAGGGCACTAATACAAGACCCTATACTGGCAAAGTCGGAGTTGAGGATACTGATAGAATTGATATGGCTTATCGTGTATTAGCTGATCATGCTCGAGTTCTGACCATTTCTCTAGGTGATGGTGGACGTGCCCAGAACACTGGTCGAGGATATGTGATTCGTCGTATTTTAAGACGTGCTGTTAGATTTGCTGTCGAGGTATTAAATGCGAAACCTGGATTTCTTGCTACTTTGGTTGATGTCGTGATTGAGACGTTGGGAGATGCTTTCCCGGAAGTAACCCGAGATCCGGATACCGTAAGTTTACTGGTTTACATTTTAAATTTGTCAATAACACTGAAAGGACTTTTTTAAATTGCGCGTATAGCTAGTTTTGTAGTTTTACAAGTGTAGAAGGATTTTTTTTCAACCGAATTTTTTGATAAATGGATGGGCTAATTAATATTAACTAGAGGTTATTAAAAAGTTTTGTTAAGTTACTCGGTGTAAACCCCTCTTAAAGTTCACATTTTGTCTGCTTCAATAGAACATTCTGTAAATAATGTGTGATAATCACTTGGTTCATGTCAAAACACTAGATCTTTATTGCGACCAATGAAATATTCTTACAGGTACTGATAACTTGTTAATAACTCGTAATTTGCTTCTTTGAAACCTAAAAGACAACTTCCACATCGCAAAAGCCTGATCTTAGCTGTAAAATCTTTTTGCGAAAATCGGGAAAATGGTTATAAATACATTACTATCGATAGTTTAGTTCCTCTTTTGGGTGCGTTTAAAAGCCATCAGGTTTTGAACTATGATAATCATTTTTAAAAATCAGTTATTACCTGATTTTATGTAGCGTATGGTGCATACTCTCTTAGATTTGACGTATTGCGTGTGGAATGCGAATAGACGAAAATTTAAATCAAATGAGTCAAAGTGAAATCTTATTGAATTTTGATCATCAGGTTAAAAGTTAAAACGCTTCCTCATCTAAGTTGGTTTGTTAAACTGATTAGTTTTATTACCATTCATTCACAAAGCGTGTGACTATAAGTCAAGTTCATAAATCTGTATGTAATTGATGAATTATGTGGCAGTTTATCGTTTTACTCATTTATTTTAATTTAAGTAACTTCCTATTTGGTTTATATTCCTTTTAGATAAAAGAACTTATTAATGAAGAAGAAGAACAGTTTTTAGTTACTTTAAAACGTGGTCAACGTCTCCTTAACCGTGTAATTAATGATTTAAAGGTATCAGGGACTAACAATACCATTTTGTCCGGTGAAGTTGCATGGCGTTTGTATGATACTTATGGTTTCCCTTTGGATCTAACACAAATACTAGCTGAAGAACATCATTTAAAGGTAATTTTTTATATCACCATTTGGTTTTGTTTTACTTAAATTCAACTGATCTCACAGGTTCATGGTGGTGTGGTGACTAGCGTGGTCATTTAGTCCGACTTGCAGCCATTAACCTGGCTCTACCTTCTTTGGTTTAGGAAAGCAGATAGTATTACTAACCTTCACACAAGAAGTGTCTCTCGAGGTCAAGTACATGAATCTTTGTCTAATTAATTGGTCCAGCACTTCATTCAACTACTGCTCAAATAATTTTGGCAAGCAGCTATGTTGTTTTAGGACTTAACACAATGTATTTATACAAATATATAATTCAAAAATATATCTTATAAGTAGGTCTTATATATAACTACATGAGATATGATAAACAACCGATTCTTCTGATGAATTTGTGTGTGTGCGTGTAACGTCGTTATTTAAATAGTAGTTAATTAACAGTTTCAAGTTCATCACTATGATGCAGATGTACTTTTACACACTTATTTACCCTCTACGCACTTGTGTGTAGTCTTTCTCGGTGTTCCAGAAAGGACGATAACTTTAAACTTGTTCTTCTGCTCACTCAGTTGATATCAAATAGAGTGGACTTAAGTTTTATTAGTTAGCTTAAGGGGATCCACAAGTCGTCTAATAAAAGGTTATTTAATTTCAAGTAACGCAAAGAGGAAATTAGATTCGTGTTCATATTCTTTTAAACCTGATAGCTCTTACAACGGCATGAATGATAAACCTATAAGAGATTAGGATATCTGATAGTATGAGTTAATTATGGCATCGATCTATTAGTCCTAACTAAATATATTTCAGAAAACGAAACCACTTGATTTCTGGTTAAATGTATACCTATACCATCCAAACTGTTATCTGTATATAAAATAAAAATCAGTAATAACATGTAACTAAGCAAATTTACACTTTTTCCTCCTTGTACCAAAGATGTAACTTTATAGACCAAGAGACAAACAGCTTAAGGCTATACTTACACACTGACGCTATTTTCTGTTATCCATTTTTCATTATAAAGTTCTGGAGATTGCTGTTTTACAAGGAAATCGTGAATCAACCATTGTTAGACTACTGTTAAAAACCTGGAAGCACTGAACGGCCGTTCTGTTCTAGTATGGGACTCTTCAACAGTACATTAACATCGGTGGATGCTTGCTCAGTTGTCTAGTGGTTAGGCGTTCGCACACAAGATCGAAGGTCCTAGTTTCGACTTTTGCGAGTCGTGGATGTGCTTTGCTGAAGAGTCCCGTATTAGGGCGGAATGGCTGTCTAGTGCTTTCAGGTTTCTGATAGTGTTCTAATAGTGATTGCTTTGCAATTCCAATATAATCCATTTCTCGATCTTGTTCAATTCCTTTCCTGCTGTACTTATTTAACAAGTGATAGCTTAAACCAACAATCATTTACCAAGCATCACATTGATGATAACCATTTGACTTGCTAAACATCACCTTGGTTAACTGCGGTCATTTGTTTAATTAAATCTTAACTGTCAAATGGTTCTGCTGTACTTCGTTTGCATTTCATATTGTTGTATGCATATACTTAATACTACTGTTCATTGGCACTTGATAAATTGCATCGCTGTTGTCTCATCAATTCCTGTTTTTCTCTTTAGATTGATTTAGAAGGTTATGAAAAAGCTAAAGAGGAAGCTCAAACCCGTAGTCAAAGTGGGAAATGTGCAGGTGGTTCAGTTGTGGATCTTGATGTACATGCATTGGGTGAATTAAAAAGTAAAAATGTATCGATTACAGATGACTCGGAGAAATTTGTCTATTCATTAGATGCTGGAGGAAATTATGGTAATCTTTTTTTCATAGGAATCATTTCTCTATTATTTAACGCTGAGCTGTCTCTTGCCTCCACTGACAAGTGGACTGAGTCATGTTGTTAGGTGTTGCGGCCCGCGAGATGATAGGAATCGATCATTAGAGACCCTGAATGACATAGCTCAAAACCGTTTGCAATGGTGCAAGTGCACACATTATTTGTTTTCTCTCAATTGCTAACCTTCGGAATTTCCTTATCACCTTTATCTCTTTCTTTTTAAGTTTCTTTCACTAGATTCTACTTCTTGAATAATTTTGTCGAAGCCTAATGTCTCCGATTACTGCTAATACTTCTACTACCTTTACCGCTATGAGATTTGCATTGACAATTGCATTTCTTTGCTAATATAGTATGGTAACTTGAACTAATGTACGTACGTACGAAGTTCTAAGTTGTTATTGACTGACTGACCGACTTGATGCTGAGATAATTTTTTTCTTCAGCGAATCTGATTTTATGCATTTGTTAGTAGTTGATACTGTGCTAAAATTTATTTACAGGGTACTAGTTTGTTCGTTCGTTGATAAGTCAATGGTCGCTTTCATTCAAAAAATCTAGAGTTCATCATTCATTTCTACAAAATTTATTCAGTCAGAGATAAATTCAGTCTTGTCAACTAGATAGTATCATCATTCTTTCAAATTCTTTTCTTTCAGTTATGAAAAGCCTGAAAGCGCTAAACAAATGTTTCGTCTCAGTGCCGGACTCATCAGCAGTAAGCGTCAACAATCTCGCATGCGGAAATCGGACGTAGGACCTCTAATCTCACGAGGGAATGCTTAATTTCCTGACCCCATTGTGCGTGCACTGTTAGTGGATGCGCACAGATAGCGAGTCCCGTACTGGGACGAAACGGCCGTCCATTACTTTCAGGTTTCTGATGGTTTTTCAACATTGATGGGTTCATGATCTCAATAATATATGTATCTCTTGAACGTGCAGCTAGATTAAAAAGCCTTGTTGAGTTTTGCTTTTGAGCATATTTGTAAACGACAAACTAGTATTTTTGTGGTGCGAGCTACTTATAAGTAGTATATGACGTGAGCGTCAACGTAATGTCTGGCAGCATAATATGGGGGAAGATCAAGAAAGGAAGAGTTAGAAAACAATGGAATTTGTATGAAACGCATGAATAGTGACAATGGATTGATGTTTGGCAACAGGAACAGTCCAGTTCGATAGGATGAACTGATATTTTGCAAATGAACAATTTACGATATGGTTTTCCGATTTTACTGAGTAACTCTGTAATTTTCGTTAAATACAATTCGGTTGCCCCACCTGTGTTCTCGTTCACTACATTTTCACTTCGTTCATGATTGCCTTTGCACAAAATTTGTTAGCTAACTATTTTAATCAATATTTTTCTACTTATTTTCTGTCAATTTAGTTTTCCCAGATTCTGAAGCTACAGTGTTAGCTATTCGTTATGAGAATAACTTTGTCGAAAGTATTGATTTGAGTGGTCAAATGTGTGGAATTATTTTAAACAAAACTCTGTTTTATGCAGAGTCTGGAGGACAACTATATGATCATGGCTTTATAACAAGTTTAACAGATGAGGTAATTAAAATTATTTTTTCCTCTTCTGTCGTAGAGTAGTAACTCATTCGTTAAAAAATTCAACTGCCAGCTGCTAGGTATTAGGTTTGAACCCTACTCTATGTACTCCGGTTTAAAGAACAGGGTAGTATAATTAGTCCTCACACTCAGAGTGCGGCTCATACCCAAGTACTTAGCGAATGAGTGCATTTAATACTTTATCCTTGAAATATATGATAAGTTTATCTGGTAATAGGGTTAACCCACCAACAATCGAAGAGATCAGCATGGTCATCAGACAAATCAACAGCGACAAAGCAGCAGAACCAGACAGTACACCAGTTGAGGCACTGAAAGCAGACGTAGCGGTAACTGCAAAGATACTGCACTTCTTCTTGGGCAAGATTTGGAATGAAGAACAAGTTTCGACAGACTGGAAAGAAGGACACGTCATCAAGATACCAAAGAAAGGAGATCTCGGCAGGTTTGAGAACTACAGAGGATCACTCTACTATTAGTACCAGGAAAAGTTGCGAACAGTGTTTTTAAAGCGGATGAAAGATTCAGTAGACGCCCAACTTTGAGGGCAGCAGGCTGAATTCCATAAGGATCAGTCATGTAAGGACCGAATCGCAACATTACGGATCATTGAGAAGCAGTCAGCTGAATAGAACTCAACACTGTACATTAACGTGAGAAAGCATTCGACAGTATGGACAGGATAACACTATAGAGGCTTCTTCGACACTGATGTAACTAAGATCTGCATCGAAGACAACTCACAGATTCATTCCAAGTGAAGACCGATTGCAGATAAGGTTGCTTACTCTCACCCATTCTCTTTCTCCTTATGGTTGACTAGATTATAAATACTCCAACATCTCAGAGGGAAGGAAGGGATACAGTGGACTACTTGGATGTAGCTAGGCGATTTGAACTTCGTAGTTGATCTAGCTCTTCTATTCCACACACGACAACAAATGCAGGTGAAGACAGCTTCTGCAGCAGTAAGTTTCGACAGACACAAGGGAAAAAGTTAGATCCTCCGATACAACACAACATATACCATTCAAATCACACTTGACGTAGAAGCGTTAAAAGATGTAGAAACCTTTACGTATCTGGTCAGCATCATTGATGAGCAAGGTGAATCTGATGCAGATTTGAAGGCGCGGATTCCCAAATCAAGGGCAGCACCTTTACAAATGAAGAACATCTGGGACTCAAAACAACCATCAACTAACACCGAAGTCACGATTTTCAATACGAACGTCAAAACCTCTCTATTGCTTGTAGCGGAAACTTGGAGAACTACGAAAGCCATCTTCCACAAGATACAGGTTTCTATTAACGATTCTCTGCGCAAGGTATTCTGGATCTGCTAATCAGGCTTCATCAGCAACAACGTACTGTGGAAGAGAACAAACTAGATCACAACTGATCAAGTACTGGAGGTGTATTGGGCATATTGCGAAAATCACCCAAGTACATCACAAGGAAAGCTCCTACTTGGAATCCTCAAGGCCAAAGAAAAAGAGATAGACTATAAAATACATTGTGCCGAAAATTAGAGACAGATATAAAAAGAATGAAGAGCGATTGGTTAGAACTGGAAAGGATAGCTAAGGACAGAGTTGGTTGGAAAATGAAGGTCAGCAACCTATGCTTCATTAGGAATAACGAGTGAAAGTAAGTAATTAAAACAAATACAGTTAGTTAGTCGTTTAATACTTTTATCTTCTGAAGTGTATGTAGAGGATTCGCGGATACTGATTTCATGAGCAAATCACTGGTTTATTCCAGTTCGATTACTTCAGTGTTCCACCAGTAATATTAATAGCTATCTATTGATTGCTATTATAACCACAGTTTCTAGCTGATCACGAAAATCAATTTGGATTTCTTGGAAATAAGATGTGTTGGTCAGTTAGTTAGTCATAAAGAACATGGAACTAATCATATATGTGCATCAGTTCAAATTGCCACACCAAATGAACACATCAGGATAAAGTTACCGAGAGAAATATGCCAGAGTAGCATAAGTAATAGCAATATCAGTGGTATTAAGAAAGATTTGGCATAAACAAAATAATCCATCATAACTCGTCCTGATGCCCATCACTCATTCATTATCCCCCTACCTACATGGATCAGTTCAATAGACAATAGCTTCATGGCTTGATCGTCTCCTAGGCTTATTTCAGTCTACTAGTCCTACACCAGTAAAAATCGCACATCGAGATTGGCAGGTGGTGGTTAGCTATAAAGTTCAGCACTTGTGAAATGATGGAAATGTGATACGTGCAAAAGTTGATTATTATTATTATTATTATTACTGTTACTATTATTATTGTTATTGTTATTATTATTATTATCATTGTTTAATGAATTATTTTTCTTGTCTACAATCAACAGATAACATAATTACGTTCATTATTTTAGATGACTGAATTTAGCATTGTTGATGTACGATGCCGTGGTGGTTATATCTTGCATATTGGAACTTTACAAGGCAAATTAATGATTGGCAGTAAAGTACGCCTTTCATTAGATACTGTACGACGTACAGCTTTAATGCGTAATCATACTGGAACACATGTATTGAATTTTGCTCTTCGTGAACTTGTGGATGAATCCGATCAAAAGGGTAGTTTAGTTGCACCAGATCGTCTACGATTTGATTTTACTGCTAAGGTAAATAAATATATATTATGGAGATTGATTTTACAAACAAATTATTAATGCTTTCAGTGATTCGTTATTCAATGTATAATTTTTATTTATCGCTAGAGTAATCCTAATAGATAGAGGTAACTTTAATAAATTTCTTTAAATCAGGACAAAAGTCGCTATTAAGTTCACTTTATCAGCTAACTAAGAACTAATCGAATATCTGAATTTTAACACTGAACTACTCATAAATACGAAGTTCTTATCAGTCTGATAGAATATAATCTTATTCGACAAGTTAATGTTATTATTCAATTTTCATACTTTAAAAACAACATTGATGAACATGGATACTAGAATTCTATTTCTTTCAAAACTCACAATCTAATCTTGAAATAGCGAACTAATGCTGATAATCTGTAGTTCAATTGAATCTACACTTGAGATTGTTTAGTGTGCATTAGTTTTTACATCTATAAATTTTATCCCGACCGTAGCTGCGACCTTGACGTGGTGGTCGGGTTTGCCTATCGTGATTTTCCAACTGAGCTATATTGGCTGGAACTTATGTTCCTGAAGGTTCTACCATGCCAGACAGGTCGATTGGAGAACGATGAGATTAAAAGCAGCTACTCAAGGTTTGAGGGCGAAGTCGTACTGCTGACTGCAGAGGGGTGTGACAGCAGTAAGGTGTTTCCCTCGGACAACCAGCATCTGCAGCGATGCTGCCTTCTCACAAGGAAGGAGGGGTTAGAAAAGGTCGGCCCTAAAAATGTCACACCTCCCCTAACTCGCGGATTTCCGTCTCCTTGGGTAAGGGTGCCTACTAAGGGCCTTTAAGAACGGAGCTAATCCTCAAAAAACGTTTCATAAAAAGGCCGTGCGTGACCGGCTTCAAGCAGTTGTCCCTTGGACTCTGCGGCCACGCTCCCAGGTCTCCGAGACCAACCCTAATCTATCTTCCTTTTCAGGTCCCTCAAGAAACAACCTTCCACGGTGTGGGCAGCCGGGAAGTGACAACCGCCCTCATCCCCGTAACAGCACGAGAGACCAACCTGGTCGAAATCAAATCCTTTCTGCACCCACACATACCGCTCTTCTCTCTACATTTAACTCTACTCACATTCCCTTATCTGACTGCACCGCTAATGCAAACGATGCGAGTTCACCAAACGTCATTCCTGGTCTCTTGAAACCTCGTTCTAGTCTACATGTTGGAGCATTTAATGTACGGACATTGTGTCAAATAGGGCAACAGGCATCATTAGCTAGGACTTTAGAATCTCGTACCATCGATGTATGCTGCGTCTCGGAAACGCGCATACAGGATTCTAGTAAAATTATTAATCTGATTTCACCTTGTCAAAATAAAGAAGTAGCTCGATTTACTTTTCGTGTATCCGGTAGCCCTGATGCTGCTTCCCGGAGTCGTGCTGGCGTAGGTATAGCACTGAGTCCTAGGGCAGATCTAGCTCTCCTAGACTGGATCCCAGTAGATAGTCGCTTGTGCGCTGTCCGAATAAACGGGACAGTAAGGACTCGGAAAGATAGGGACACTCGCCGTTGCCTCTTTATCGTATCTGCCTATGCCACCACTGACTGCAGATCAGACGAGGTTAAAGATGAGTTTTACAGAAAGCTTTCGGACCGCCAAAAAGCTAGGCGCTCTGATATAATAATAATGGCTGGTGACTTTAACGCTCAAGTAGGTAGACTAAGTGAAGAGGAAAGACACCTAGGTGGATGTTATGGTGTCGCGGCTCAGAGAACAGACAATGACGACCGTCTGTTTCAACTATGCTCAGATAACACTAATTTTAGGCATAAGGAAAAGCATCTGTTGACCTGGCGACCTCCAAAGTCATCTGAACGTTGGACCCAACTAGATCACATCGCCATCAGTCACCGATGGAGGTGTTCGATAGAGGACTGTCGCTCGTTCTAGGGCACATGTTTAGATTCAGATCATGCCCTAGTGCGAGCGCGTATTTGTTTGAGGCTTACTAGACGTAGGAAAGACACCGTAAGAAAGCCTCTTAGGGTTTTACTTAATGATAATGAGGCTAAGAAAATATTTCAGGAGGAACTAGAAAAAAAGTTAGGCGATCATGCAAGCGGTTCCCATCCAGAGGCAGGTTGGAATGATATCAAGAAGGCTGTGGGAACAGCAGTGATATCTTCTAGTAAGGTTGACCATAAGGCTAGAATGAAGCCGTGGATCTCAGTAGCATCCACCGATCTGATGGATACCCGAAAACTCATCCCACCTGGCTCTGAACATGATGAAGAACGAAGTCAACTTAGGCACAGACTTATAAAAAGCCTACGTAACGACCGCGAACAGTGGTGGGTGGCGAAAGAAATAGCGAAGGAAAAGGCAGCAGCGATCGGCAACAGTAGACAAGTTTCCGACTTATCAAAGAAACTGGTATTAGGAATCCTAGTGTAAGTGAGACTATCTCGGAAAATGATGGTACTATTATTTATTCTCAATCCAGGAGACTGAATCGATGGGCAGAACACTTTAGGGATCAGTTCAACTGGCCTCGAGCCACTCTTCGGTTACCCACGATCTCCAGTCGTCCTGAATGGAAAATCGAGGTAAGTCCTCCTAGTCTTTACGAAGTTGAGAAAGCGTTAGGAAATCTGAAGCCAGGACAAGCTGCAGGTCCTGATAGACTGACGCCTGAAATATTTAAGGATGGTGGTCCAGTTTTAGCAGCTAGGTTGACTGAGATCTTAGGTAGAATCTGGTGTACCAGAGAAGTACATTAACCTTATACAAGCTCTCTACAAGAACACCACTGGTCGAGTGAGAGCTTATGGCGAACTGTCAACGGAATTCTTTACTTCAAGTGGTGTCCGTCAGGGATGTCTACTTTCTCCATTCTTGTTTAATTTTATCATAGACATGCTCCTAAAAATAACCTTATCCTCGTCTGAATTTTCAGGAGTAGACTTTTTACCAGGTGGCTCGCTTATTGACTTAGAATATGCCGATGACATTTTCCTACTTGGTGAAGACGCTGACAAAATGCAGAGTCTTCTGACCACCCTAAGCAACAATGCAAGCATGTTCGGGATGCGGTTCTCACCCTCGAAATGCAAAATGTTGTATCAAGATCGGGTTTCATCGGCACCTGAACTAGTGATAGGGAGTGAAGTAGTCGAGCGTGTAGACCGCTTCACTTATCTTGGGAGTCTCATCAGTGTTGATGGCCTGGTGACTGACGAAATCTCAGCTCGGATACAGAAGGCTCGATTTGCTGTTGCCAACCTGCGTCACTTATGGAGTAGACGTGATATCCGTTCTCTAACCAAAGGACGAGTGTACTGTGCAGTAGTTCGCTCCGTTCTATATGGCTGTGAAACATGGCCAGTTAGAGTAGAAGATTTTCGTAGGTTACTGGTTTTCGATCATAGGTGTCTTCGAAGCATTGCTCGTATACCGTGGGACAACCGAGTAAGCAATGCTGTCGTTAGGAAACTAGTACTAGGTAAGGATGGCAGATCAATAGATGAAGTGGTGAAACTTCATCAGTTGAGTTGGTTGGGACATGTGTTACGTATGGCTAAACACCTACTGCCTCGACGAGCTTTGTTTTGTAGTGTAGGAATAGGTTGGAAGAAAGCTAGGTGCGGACAAACCAAAACATGGCAGAAATCCATGAAGTCACTGACTAGTGGACTTAGCCATGTCGGTAATTGTCGACTACCTGGTTGGGGTCAGCGAGATAATAATAATCGATGGTTAGATACCCTGAATGACATGGCCCAAAATTGTTCGCAGTGGCGCAGGTGCATTTATTCTTTGTGTTCTCTCAAATCATAATCTTCTGGATTCTACAACACTTCTAGTTTTGACTTTCTAAACTTTTCTCATTTAATCATACTTCTTGAATAATATCTTCTAATCGTAACCTCTCTGACTACTTCTGTTACCTTTACTACCTCTTCTACTATTAGATTTGAACTGACGATTACATCTCTGTGCTTATGTGGTGTGGCGACATGAACTGATGTACTTACGTACGAAGTTCTACGTTGCTTCTGACTGACTGACTGACTATAAATTTTATGACAGTGTTATGTAACCAAACACCAACTATTTATGTGTAGAGCATGTGATAATTTTTGGATTTCTATTATTGATACTGATGACTTCATTAACCTTTTGGAATAGGTTAAGACAGATATCACAGTATTCAAACATTTTACCATATATTGAATTAATATTGGAAATTTTTTTTAAAAAAAAGAATAAATTCCTGGTATATCATCGGCTAATGAGGATGTTGTTACTTTTTGGTTTGGAAGTTGTTCTATTGTGTAATTGCCTGACTCAACTACTGATATACACGTTTGTTATACATTTGCCCTATCCACTAAGAGAGTAAGTAGGAAGCAGTTTATTGGCCAACCGAATCATTCATAAATATGTATGTATTTTCCATCAGAAAATCAAGCTACACTTTTAACCAGTAACGCATGTTTATTACTTTAGAAAGTGCACTAGAACTGTGCCTTCTAGTTTTACGCTTGTTAGTATCTCGTTACGTTTGAATTAGCCTAGTGTATCAGAAATCTTTTCCGCCATAATGTAGTGTGTGCTACTTATACGAACGATATAAGTAGTATAAGAAGGGACGTGAAAGAAGAACTCTCACGGTCACTAGAGGAAAACGGAAAGCAAATGGAGCAAAAGCAAGAAGTAAATGGAGTACCGACAGGAAGTAAAGGAAGCAACAGCAGGAATGGAAGAAGGCTGGAGCGTTGGAAGTCAGGACTCAAAGATGGTGTGCAAATAGAGTGTCCAATGTAATGTTTTCGTTTTTAATTGACTAAGAGTGTAAATTTGCTTAATACAATCTATCGAGCTGCCTCAGTCTTCTCTTTGCCTTCTAGTTTTACGCTTGTTAGTATCTCGTTACTTTTGAATTAGCCTAGTGTATCAGAAATCTTTCCCGACATAATAGTATGTCTCATTAAAATCCAATACTTCAAAGTTTATTTTTCACATTTTACTTTGAATTCACAAATAGTTATATATTTTAATCCGATATTTTATTGCATTTTCAAGCGGGGTATGAGTCGTGATGAATTAGCAAAAGCTGAAGAAATCTGTGACACGATGATAAACAAACATTTAAATGTTTATTCAGCTGATGTCTCATTGCCATATGCTAAAACAATTCAAGGAGCTCGTGCAGTGTTTGGTGAAGCATATCCTGATCCTGTTCGAGTTGTTTCTATTGGAGTTCCTGTGACAAGTTTAGTGGCTTATCCAGATAAACAATATGGAAAAACTACCTCAGTGGAATTCTGTGGTGGAACGTATGTAATGTTCATGTTTATGATTTGTCATAAATTTACACTAGTTAAGTCAACAAAATTAGCGAACTGTTGTGAGTACAATTGAAAAGGCATTATTCACAACTTGATGATAACCCACAACGTAGTTTTTCAAGAGTCAGTAAGTTACTCAATAAAAACAACGTAGGGTATCTGCGAAATCAGGAGTGGAGAACAAGATATGTTAGAAATGAATTGAGGTAACAGTAGTAACACGTGTTCAAATACAAAACATACATAATGAAGTTCAGAAGGAATCAATAAAGTTCAGAATTGGGAAGTTTGTAATAATTTTTCTCCTCAAAAAGAAAAAGATAAAAAGTAGAATGCATCTGTAAGATTGTGACTGAGGTCTTCAACAATTGACTACCACTGTGCCATGTTAAGCAACATAAACTTCTACGCCTATCGATATGGGTTAGACTAACAGCCAACAAAGTGCACAGATTGATGTTTTCTTCTAAACTGCTCATATATTCCAATCATTGATCGAATATGAATCAGAATTAGTCATAATGGCACAGTTGAATTCATTCTTTATCTTTTTGTATTTTTGGAGTCCCAGTATTTCTTCATACCATACCTTTTCACTCTATCTTTTCAAACCATATTCATAATGCTTAGTTTTTTCTCAGTATAATTTCTACCATAATTATTTAGACTCTCGTATTATTGTTATTGTTTTTCATTGAATCTTGTTGTGTTAATGTGCTAGTGACAAGTTGAGCTAATACACCTAAGTACTAGGCTTTACGTTGGTTATAACTAAGTATTTGTATGTAACGACTAGTAAAGTTACCAGGTAGCCTAGAGTGAAGTAGCTGAGATAGTTATAATAATTTCACTATTAAACCACCTTATATCAAGTTACATTTTGATTCTTTAACATTGAACTGTGTTACATTTAAATTAGGTGTTTAATTTCTCATTCATTCGAGCCAACCAATCACCATCACTGACCTTGATGCATAGTACTTAAAAATAGTATTGGCCAATAATTTATAACTGTTAAACTTCACTTTAATAAATTCTATGAACTTAGTGTTAAATTCGTTTGCTAACAAAGACAGCTAATCATTAAAAAGTCATTTTTTTTCTATTTTTTGGATTTTTTTTTTCTCATAGTCATGTTCTGAATACTAAACATATTGGCGTTTTGGTGATTGTTAGTGAAGAGGCTATAGCTAAAGGCATTCGACGTATTGTGGCTGTTACTGGTCATGAAGCTGAACGTGTAAGTACTCAGATCAAGTTGCTTCTTGTGATTATTATCTCATAATATTAGTGTTGTCATTATGGTATTTTGTTTTGTGCGTGTGTGTGTGTGTGTGTGCAATTTCTGTTATTTAAACAGTTAGTCAGTGGTGCATATCGGATCAACAATATCAGATATTTTCTTTTTAACCTTATTGTTTTGCAATTATTGGAATTTAAAATTCATTAATTTCTTTAAAATCTGTTCTAATTACATCAATATACATTGGAATATATATTTACTACAGTTCATTGTCGTATAGATTTGTATGCAAAAGCCGTTTAATCAATTGTTATGTGACTAGTACAAAGTTAACAATGTAATTTTAAATTCTCAATCATAAGTTATGTCAATTTGTTGTACCGTTTGCTTAAGTCAATAATATGATAAACTTAAAAAGAAATGAGTGTTTTTAATTGAGTATTAGGAATTATTGAGAATTTTTGTTAGATGAAATAAAAATAATTGTGTATATTGATGTTATTTGTGAAAATTTATTGTTTGAAGTAATTTCACGGATTGAAATTTCAATAATCCCAACTCTCAGTTTAGCAATAATTGCGATTTGAAATCATCAATCTATCATTGTTAGACCACCATTAGAAACCTGGAAGCACTGGACGGTCGTTTCTTCCCGGTATAGAACTCATCAGCAGTGCGCATCCACGACTCCTGCACCTGCTCATTAGTGACTCGCTTCATGAGGAACTTGTCGGAGTTCTAGTGGGAAGACGTGACCAATGGAGATCAATCCTGTCGGGTGTAGGCAGTAACTACCAAAGACAAATGGGTGAGGTCGCGCAAAATCCGTAGATCAGTCAGAGTTAGACATTAACACCGTTGTGTGCCGGCCCAGTGGTCCGATGGTTAGGCGTTCGCACACAATATCGAAGGTCCCGGGTTCGAATCCTGCGAGGTGCAGGAGTCGTGGATGCGCACTGCTGATGAGTCCCATACCAGGACGAAACGGTCGTCCAGTGCTTCCAGGTTTCTAATGGTGGTCTAACAATGATTGACTGATGATTTCAAATGTGTAAAAAGGCTTATAAGACTACCTGCATGCCTGAGCAAAAAACGTATAGAATCCTATCTCGACGTGCTTTTTGTAGGGGTTGAAAGACGAGTGCTTTAACCGTTAAGTCACTATTCAGGATTTCAAGAAATTATGTATTGGTCTACTTACTTGCTTGATGTAACCACATTAGCTTTGTAAATCAAAAAGTATTTTATTCAGAAAAATTCTTATGTAATCAGTTAGTTCATTCTGTCGTATTTAAATTGTATTGTTCTATAAAAATCATCTAATTCTTTTTCTTTGATTAAATTCAGTTTTCAATTTTTTTTAAAGGCACAAAAACAAGCTTTACGACTTGATAATGAAGTGAATGAATTAATTAAATCTGTCAATAAATTAATTGCTCATGATCAAACAACTACTAATACAACTGATTATTTCAATGTAACTCGTCAAATGTCCAATTTATCCGAAGATATTTCACATGCTGTCATAAGTCAACATCATCGAGAGAATTTACGTGAAAAATTGTCTGAAGCGAAAAAACTGTTAGATGCACGTAATAAAGCATCGAAAACGGCAATTACTTCTAAGGTTAGAATTAAAGTTGTTGATTTTATTTGTTACTGTTGTTTATTCATTTATTTTTGATGATTATAATATAAAAATATGTAAGGAGGATTTTCTGGGGAGTTTCACTCACTGAAATAGTGCTTTCATGATAAATTGTGGAGATTGTTGAATTTAATTCAAATTGTCAGTCGATCACTGTTAGACCACCGTTGGAAACCTGGAAGCGCTGGATGGCCGTTTTGTCCGAGTATAGGACTGACTCATCAGCAGTACGCATCCGCGCCCCCGCTCGAGGCAGTTAAACACTAGAGACAACGGGTAAGGTAGGGTTCGAAGATGTTATTCAAGAAGTATAATTCAGTGAAGTAAATTTAGAAAGAGAAATATAGCGGTGATGAGGAATTCAGAAGGTTAGAATTTCATAGAACACAAAGAGTAAATGCACCTGGGCAATTGTAAACGGTTTTGAGCCACATCGTTCAAGGTCTCTAACCATCGCTTACTATCATCTCGCGTGTCCCAACCAGCTAATCGATATCTACCAACATGACTCAGTCTACTTGTCAGTAACTTCATGGATTTGTGCCATGTTTTGGTTTGGCCACCCTTAGCTTTTTCCCAACCTATTCTTGCACCGCAAAACATAGCTCGAAGAGGCTGCCAGTAGTTGGGAATACGTAACCCTTCAACTGACGAAGTTTCATTACCTCATCTATTGACGTGCCATCCTTACCTAGCACCCATTTCCTAACAACAGAATTACTTACTCGATTGTCGCTGGCTACCGATGTGATTGCTTATATTTATCCATGACCAATAATTCAGTAAAAAACGAATAACAGAAGTTATCATGAGGCAATTCATTTAAACTATTCTATAATTCAACTAGCCTTCTAACTTCTCTCTATTATTATTATTATTATTATTATTATTATTACCATTACAATTTCTAGATTTTAGAAGAGGCTCGACTTTTGGGTGAATCGCTTGTTAACTCTCCTAATAATTATATCATTCATGTGTTCGATGCTCTTTCGAATACAAAAATTATGAATTCTGCTATAAAAGAATTAGAACGAATATGTCCAAATAAAGCTGTAATGGTATTTTCGTCAGATTCTGTTTCGAACAAATTGACTGTGCTTTGTCAAGTGCCAAAAGTAAGTGATATTTTTTCCGATGGGGTGGTAGTAAGCGAAGCAGCCTAGATTGAAGCATTAAGGCTTAAACATGCTTTGTACCCTCACATTGGTATATGATTATTTGACAACCAAAATCATTTTTATCGCATTTACAAAATATTCGCTTTTCCAACGTTTTCAAGCTTGAGTTTAGGAGTAGTATCCAGTCATCTAAATGAATTAATGGGGAAAATGACTGGGAAGCTTTGATCTACAAACTGAATAAATAGATGTACAAATCGTTGGTGTACTTACATTAGTCATTCTGACCTAGACAAGGATATGTGGGTTGAGATCTTAACTGAATGTTTAATTGTACCCCTTTGAAATTACTCGTATTACACCTCTATGAGTTTCTCACTCATCGTTTGATCCTAAGATGACAAATGACTAGACTAGTGTTATAATTCTCTCTTTATTACGACCTAGCTATTCCTAATGCTTAGTCTTCTCGGACAACAATTCACTCGAGATGTTCTCTCAAATCAGAACTCTGTTGAACAGGATCCTTTCGAAGGTTTGAGTACTTTTGTAGCACACCTTTCAGTGACACAGTGTTAACTAATCCTAAGAGATAGCATATGCATATCATGAGCTTATCAATTTGTATTGATTGAACTTGGACAATAACATCTCGGACGCTTTTACACGGGAGATCGAAGGTCCCGGGTTAAATTGCCGCGTTCGACAATAGTGGATGCCCACTGCTGGAACGAAACATCCATATAGTGCTTCCAGGTTTCCAATGATGGTTTAACATTGATCGGTTCATCATTTTAATGAAATTTAATTTCAGCATGATACGCGCAACTCAACAAAGATGGTATAATTTTGTAAGGAATTGATTAGTATTAAAACAAGAATAAGAAGTCGTAATTAGATTTTTTACGCTTTGGGAATGGGAAAATTTAATTCATTTCGAATTCCTGCGCAATTATGTAGATCCTTCACAGATTATCACATCGACACCCAGCATGTAAAAAAACTACTGGCTTGACAGATTGACGTTACATAAATGTATATAATACTTATTAGGTACTATGAACTAAAACGTAACATATAGCTTTAATGATCATAGTAAAGTTAAATTACGGTTTGTAGTGGAATCTAAGATGAGTATTTCATTCTAATTAGGATTCCTCATCCGAATGTACCTGCATTCCAGTGTCAACGACACCAACATAGGAACAAAGTGTTCTTCATGGATTCAGTATCATGGTGATGCGTTAAGGATTCATCTATGCTAGTGGAAACTCATATAATGAAGTTCTTAATATCGACATCGAGAAGCGATATATATATATATATATATATATATATATATATATATATGATTATAGTTAACCAATATCCAGAAAACACTGAATACACATTTTTTACTTTTATTTTTATAGGAACTTGTCTCGCGTGGTTTAAAAGCCAATGAATGGGTTACGCATATTAGTAAAACAATGGATGGAAAAGGAGGCGGTAAAGAAACTTCAGCTCAAGCTGTCGGTAGTCGAATTGATATGTTAGACGAAGTCATTCGTCTAGCTGATCTATTTGCTAGTACAAAGTTAACAAACAGCTAACACTGTTTCCATTGTAGTTATTATAATATGTATGTATGCACATTTACATTTATAAAATTTTGGAATATTAATGAATGCTTATGTAATAATGGGAAACAAAAAAAGAACGTATTTTTATGAGGAAATGTACAGTTTGATCAGTGGCATAGTAAACTAGCACGAACAGTTTTTTTTTAAAATCATAATGCAGCCTGTTAAGTTCATTTTTTCAAACTGACCGAATGTAATTGACAGAATAATAGTAATAACTCAGGGAATTTTTAAATTTGTTTTTTTTATTGACGGTATTATTGTAAATGAGGTCGATTTCTTTGTCAAAAATTTGTTGATCAAAGTTGAGTCGGTGGTTTTGGAAATATTAAAATGTATGCGAGAGATTGCTACTACAGGAGTAACTGTAATTCGTGTGTTAAGATGTATAAATGCAACGCATACTGTACACAAAATGAGGCATTTCTATAACATTCAGGCATCTTTAAGATAACATTCATTTTGGAATGATACACAGGTTGACCCAAAGAAAAATGGTAATTTACTGATGTCGTATTGTCGAGAATCAATAGCATAGTGCTTACGGTATTCATCTAACAGTTATCATGCAGTGGTTTTGTGCTGCCTCAAACTTAGTTGCTTAAAATATGGTGACCATACTCTAGATAATTCATAACTAATTAGATCTATTATCTGCAGTTTATTCCTTTCGAAAACGTAGAGAAACTTGGATAATATTACCTTGTGACGGGTATCATCTTAAGCTATTTTGATTAACTCAATGTGTTTGAAGCTAAGAGACATTCTACGTTTTGTATGTTCCGATCAAACAAAATTACAACACCGTATTATGTTGTTGGGAACGTTAGATCCCAGAACTCGCTCGATGAACGTCTTAATTTGGGATTTTATTTATAGGCTGGTCACTTGACCTTGAGATTACATTTCCCAACAGGAAAATCCTTGGCTGTGATTGGCTACTATGTTATTTTAGTGTGCTATTTTTGTGACTCTCCCAAGGACGTTACTATGATGTATAAATAAACGCGATTTATGTGCTTGCTGGGTGTTTGTAGAATACACTTTGCGCTATATCAAGACTTTTTCGTTAGTTCCTTTGGGTCAGCGGATCAGAGTAGCCTACCCAGACACTGGTTGATTGTCTCGTTTATTATCGACTAAGGTGAACCCGTAACAGTTTCAAGCATAGCAAATGACGACCATAACAGTTGTATCAGTTAACATGATCGTTGTTGAAATTTTTAAGAGTACCTGAATACGATTTTGTACTTCTGTAAAATTTCTATAGGTCAGTTACAATGTAGAACTTCGTACGTACATCAGTTCAGGTTGCCATACCATATTAGCACAGAGACGCAATTGTCAATTGAAATCCCTCAATACTACCGATAGTAGATGTATTAGCAGTAATCGGGATGATTAAGGTCCGACATTATTGGTTAGTTTGTAATTTTTTTGTTTTGTATAGATAGACGTATTGTGTGAACCCTTCCTATTCCGATTAATGTTCAGCCAACTTTAGGAAAATCAGTTTTTGAATCATAGCGCCATATGGAAAAACAGACAGATACAATGCAGAACTTCGTACATATGTACATCAGTTCAGGTTGCCATACCACGTTAGCACAGAGACGTAACAATCAGTTCAAATCCAAGAGTGATAGAGAACGTATAGTTAGTAGCAGCAATGGAGAAGATTAGAGAGCGAAGATATGATTCGAGAAGTAGAATTCAGTGAGATAAATTTAGAAGGAGAAAGATATAGATTATGTGGAATTCAGAAGCTTAGAATTTTATAGAACACAAAGAGTGGATGCACCTGGCGCCATTGCAAACGATTCTGAGCCATGTCGTTCAAGGTCTCTAACCATTGGTGACTTTCGTCTTGCGGACCCCAACAAGATAGCCTACATCTACCAACATGACTCAGTACACTTGTCAGTGACTTCATAGATATCTGCCATGTTTTGCTTTGGCCGCTCCTAGCTTTCGTCCAACCTATTCCTATATCGCAAACTATACCTCGTCGTGGCATTCGGTGGTTCAGCATACGTAACACATGTCCCAACCACCTCAATATTAACCTTATACAAGCTCTCTACTCGAACACTACTGGTCGACTGAGAGCTTATGGCAAACTGTCATTGGAATTCTTTACTTCAAGTGGTGTCCGTCAGGGATGTCCACTCTCTCCATTCTTGTTTAATTTTATCATAGACATGCTCCTAAAAATAACCTTATCCTCATCTGAATTTTCAGGAGTAGACCTTTTACCAGGTGGCTCGCTTATTGACTTAGAATATGCCGATGACATTGTCCTACTTGGTGAAGACGCTGACAAAATGCAGAGTCTTCTGACCACCCTGAGCAACAATGCAAGCATGTTCGGGATGCGGTTCTCACCCTCGAAATGCGACATGTTGCTTCAAGATTGGGTTTCATCGGCACCTGAACTAGTGATAGGGAGTGAAGTGGTTGAACGTGTAGACCGCTTCACTTATCTTGGGAGTCTCATCAGTGTTGATGGCCTGGTGACTGACGAAATCTCAGCTCGGATACAGAAGGCTCGATTTGCTTTTGTCAACCTGCGTCACTTATGGAGTAGGCGTGATATCCATTCTCTAACCAAAGGACGAGTGTACTGTGCAGTAGTTCGCTCCGTTCTATATGGCTGTGAAACATGGCCAGTGAGAGTAGAAGATATTCGTAGGTTACTGGTTCGATCATAGGTGTCTTCGAAGCATTGCTCGTATACCGTGGGACACCCGAGTAAGCAATGCTGTCGTTAGGAAACGAGTACTAGGTAAGGATGGCAAATCAATAGATGTATTGAAACTTCATCAATTGAGGTGGTTGGGACATGTGTTACGGATGAGACTCCCCAGATAAGTGAAGCGGTCTACACGTTTGAATACTTCACTCTCTATCACTAGTTCTGGTGCCGATGCAACCCAGTCTTGAAGCAACATTTTGCGTATATAACGGAGGCCAACATTTTCGACACTATATTAGTTAGGCTGATTCCTCTGTAATTGTCACAAGAGGACTTCTGTCCTTTCTGGTAAATTGTTACAGTCAGTGATTGAGACCAGTCAGATGTGATTACGTCTAGTTTCCAGGTTCTACTTAAGATCTCAGTCAACCTAGCTGCTAAAATCGTACCACCATCCTTAAAAATCTCAGGGGTCAGTCTATCAGGACCTGAAACTTGCCCTCGCTTCAGATTTCCTAACGCTTTCTGAACTTCATAAAGATTTGGGGGACTTACGTCGATTGGCCATTCAAGATGACTGGAAATCGTGGGTAACCGAAGTGTGGCTCGAGGCCAGTTGAACTGATCCCTAAAGTGTTCTGCCCATCGGTCCAGTCTCCTGGATTGAGAATGGATAATAAGACCATCCTTTTCCGAAATAGTCTGATGCACATTTGGGTTCCCAATACCAGTTTCTGTGATGAGTCTGGATAGTTGTCTGCTGTTGCCTATCGCCTCTGCCTTTTCCATCTCTCGCTTTCGCCACCCAACACTGTTCTCGATCATTGGGTAGGTTTTTTATCAGCCTGCGCCTAAGCTGACTCCGCTCCTCATCTCACTCAGAGCCAGACGGGATGAGTTTTCGAGCGTCTATCAGTTTGATGCTACTGAGATCTGCGGCTTCTTCGTAGACTTATGGTTTACCTTGTTAGCAGATATCACTGCTGTTTCCACAGTCTTTTTGATATCATTGAAACCTGCCTTTGGATGGAAATCGCTTACATGGTCGCCTAACTGTTTTTCTAGTTGTTCCTGAAATACATTTTTAGCTTTACTGTCATTAAGTAGAACCATAAGAGGTTTCCTTGCGGTGTCATTCCTACGTCTAGTAAGCCTCAAACAAATACGAGCTCGCACTAGGGCATGATCTGAATCTAAACATGTGCCCCAGAACGAGCAACAGTCCTCTATCGAACACCTCCATCAGTGGCTGCTGACAATGTGATGTAGTTGGGTCGGTTTTGGGGTTGGTTAGGACAAAAGGTGTCTTATCTTATGCCTAAAGTTAGTGTTTGCCAAGAATAGGTGGTTATCTGAGCATACTTGCAACAGACGGTCGCCATTGTCTGTTCTCTGAGTCGCGACACGATAACATCCACCATGGTGTCTTTCATTTTCACTTAGTCTACCTACTTGAGCATTGAAATCATCAGCCATTATTACTGCATCAGAGCGCCTAGCCTTTTGGAGGGGGTCCGGATGCTTTCTGTAAAACTCATGTTTAACTTCATCTGAAATGCAGTCAGTGGGGGCATAGGCAGATACGACGAAGAGGCAACTACGGGTGTCCCTATCCTTGTGAGTTCTTACTGTCCGGTTTAGTCGGCCAGCGCACAAAGGACTGTTTACTGGGATCCAGTATAGGAGAGATAGTTCAACTCTACGGCTCAATGCTATACCTACGCCAGCAAGACCCCTGGAAGCAGCATCAGTGCTTCCAGATACACGAAGAGTAAATCGATTTCCTTCTTTATTCTGATAAGGTGAAATCAGATTATTGACTTTATTAGGATCGTAGATGCGCGTTTCCGAGACGCAGCACATATCGATGGCACGAGATTCTTAAATCCTAGCTAAGGAAGCCTGTTGCCCTATTTGCCAAAATGTCCGTACATTAAATGCTCCAACATGTAGTGTAGAACGGGGTTTCAGGAGACCAGGAATAGTTTCGTAAACTCGCATCGTTTGCATTAGCTGTGCAGTGTGATATAAGAATGTGAGAAGAGTTAGTCGTGGAGATAAGAGAGGTGTTAAGTGTAGAAAGGATTCGGTTTTGACCAATTCGGTCTCGTCTGCTGTTACCCGAATGAGGGCAGATGTCAATTCCCCGGCTGCCCACACCATGGAAGGTTGTTTCTTGAGGGACCTGAAAAGGAAGGTAGACTTGTATTGGTCTTAGAGACCTGGATGCGTGACTGCAGAGTCCAAGAGACAACTGCTCAAGGCCGGTCACGCACAGACTTTTGATGAAAGGTATTTTTTAGTATTAGTATTAGCTCCGCTCTTAAAAGCCCTTAGTGAGCACCTTTACCGCCGGAGGCGGAAATCCGTGAGGTAGGGTGAGGTGTGACATTTATATGGTCGACCTTTTGTAACCCTTCCTTCCTTGTGATAAGGCAGCATCGCCGCAGATGCTGGTTGTCCTAAAGAAACACCTTACTGCTGTCATACGCCTCTGCAGTCAGCAGTACGACTTCGCCCTCAGACGTTGAGTAGCTGCTTTTAGTCTCATCGTTCTGAAATCGACCTGCCTAGCATGGTAGAACCTTCAGGAATATATGTCCCAGACAATATAGCTCGGCTGGGTCATCACGATAGGCATTCTCGACCACCACGTCAAGGTAGCAGCTACGGTCGGGACCATATGGAAAAGAAATAAGACACATTTATTGCTGTCTATACTGCTTAGATTTGTTAATATCAAGTTAATGTTACTGAAATTTCTCTAGTTACAATTATCGAAAACCCATCACTAGTGTGTTCACCAGTTTGAACAATACGTACGACTGAAGTATGAACAGTATATTAATAAGAACCTTTCTACAATTAGCAGTTAAATATTCAAAAAAAGTTCACAAACAAGTGACGTAACTACTTTCTGTTTGTGTGGTTGAAGTTCGCGTGAAAATCATGATCAATGGTTAGAGGAATTATTGGTTAGTATTGCCATAGACCGATCCACTCCATTTTGCGCTAGATATTGATTCACACTATTCTTTTATATCCACCTTTTCATTCTGCTCCATATTCTCAATTTTTAGTGATTCTCACAGTCCGATTAATTGTTTCATTAGCACTTAGGCCACTGCACATTTTGTCTTAAGTGACACGTTAACTATATGATTATTGATTATTTGGAGCGAGTAGAAAGTAAGAATCTATTTTCTTCAATACAATAGCTTCTTATCATCCCTGCATTACTGAGTTTATTCGTATCATCCTAATTGTTGTTTTGCGAACTGATTTTATAAGCCTAAACTGAAAAAACAGTGTTAGAGTTCGTGACAACTCCGCCGGTAGACCCTTGAGGGCTACTGCGGTCCCAAGCTTGGATAAAAAAGAAGGGTTTGGATTGTGGTTGGCGACTCCATCTCGCAAGAAAAGGCTAACAAAAAAAATCCAAACCATATAAACCCTACTGTGGGAGTTAGGTCTTCATTTAGAAGAATTACGACGTCTCATGATGAAAGCCGAGTTCCTTTCGGAAGTCATAAGGCCGACGCCCCTTTCGACAACCAGTACCCTTCCACGGTGTGGGCAGCCTAGAAGTTAGGTAGAATCTGGTAACTAAACGTAATCCCATCCGACTGGTCTCAACTTATAAGGACAAGTCTTCTTGCAACAATCACAGGGGAATAAGTCTAAATAATATAGTTTCTAAACTATTAGCCTCGATAATCCTAAGCCTAAGTAGAGCTCCTAAAGAGCAGACTAGAGAAAACCAGGCTGGTTTTAGACCCGGACATGGCTGTATAGACCACATCTTCACACTACGACAGGTCTTGGAACACAAACACAAATAGGCGTCCGACAATAGTAGGCGGCATTTGAATCTGTTAATCGTGGGGTTCTGTGGCATTGTCTGTCATTAAAAGGTGTACGAAAGAAGTACATTAACTTTATACAAGCTCTCTACTCGAATACCACTGGTCGAGTGAGAGCATATGGCGAACTGTCATCTGAATTCTCTACATCAAGTGGTGTCCGTCAGGGATGTCCACTCTCTCCACTCGGACACTACAGGTCGAGTGAGAGCTTACACTCTCTCCATTCTTGATTAATTTTATCATAGATATAACATTATCCACGTCTGAATTTTCAGGAGTAGACCTTTTACCAGGTGACACGCTTATTGACTTAGAATATGCCGGTGATATAGTCCTACTTGGTGAGGACGCTGACAAAATGCAGTCTTCTGACCACCCTAATCAACAATGCAAGCATGTTCGGGATGCGGTTCCCATCCTCGAAATGCAAACTGTTGCTTCAAGATTGGGTTGCATCAGCACCAGAACTAATGATAAGGAGTAAAGTAGTTGAGCGTGTCGACCGCTTCACCTATCTTGGGAGTCACATCAGTGCCGACGGCCAGGTGTGTGATGAATCAGCACGGATACAGAAAGCTAGATTGGCTTTTGCCAACCTGCGTCACTTATGGCTTAGGCGGGATATGCGTTTACTGACTAAATAACGAGTGTACCGTGAAGCAGTTTGCTCAGTCTTAATTTATGGCTGTGAGACATGGCCAGTAAGAGTAGAAGATAATCGTAGGTGTCTTCAAAGCATTGCGCGTATATCCTAGGACAACCGAGTCAAAAACGCTGATATTAGGAAACGAGTCCTAGGTAAGGATGGCAGATCAATAGATGAACTGTTGAAACTTCATCAGTTGAGGTGGTGGGGCATGTGTCAATTATGCCTAACCAAAGACTACCTCGACGAGCTATGTTTTGTGGTGTAGGAATAGTTTGGATGAAAGCTAAGAGCGGCCAAATCGAAACATCGCGCAAATCCATGAAGGCACTGACAAGTGGACTGAGCCATGTTGGTGGATGTAGGCTACTTGGTTGGGGTCCGCGAGATGATAATAATGGATGGTTAGAGACCCTGAATGAAATGGCTCAAAACCGTCTGCAGTGGCGCAGGTGCATCCACTCTTTGTGTTCCCTCAAATCCTAACCGACATCACTGAATTATACTTCTTGAATATTATCTACGAACCCTAATCTTCTCCAATACTGCTAATACTTCTACTGTCTTCACCACTATGGGATTTGAACTGACAGTTGCGTCTGTGTACTGATACGATATGCCGACTTGAACTGATGTACGTACCTACAAAGTTCTACGTTGCTGTTGATGATGAGAGTTGGTCATCAAGTTGATTGCATAAACAAGAAGAAATAGTACACAATCAATACTTTTTTTAAAAAAATGTTTATTTTTTGCATAGTAGACCAAACCCGAAATGAATTACACAATTAATTATATATTAATGAGAAAAAGCAAAAAAAGGAGAGAAAAAAACTGATCACAGTACAATACAGAAAAAGTATTATCCACTCATTTTAACATTCAAGGCAATTGCATTGTACATCGGACAATCAATATTATTCAGGAACGATTTGATCGAATCACTAAACCTTGATGTTCGATGCCTATTTCTGTAACCTGTAAGATAAATAACAACAGTATTTATTATAGGATAAATAATTACAATAGAACATGATTTTGTACGTTAGAAAACAACTTCGAAAAATAGTTGGGATTGTTATGTATACTAAGAGACTTCAGCTGTAGGTACTACTTTTGTTTGAGCATGCTACTTGCTTAAGTAGCATGTCTGATCTGGCCAATAAGATCAGACTTTTCCGTGACTGTACTTAGTTTGAGCAATCTTTGTCAAAAACTCAGATGTGCCAGACTTGGCAATAGTCCCCAAATTCGAGGTAAGTTCAGCTTCCGTCAGTGTGTATTATATGAAGGGTTCGTGCATCTTTATTGGCCTTTATTCGGATACTCATTTCGTTGGATAATTCATAGAAAAATAATTAATTGGCATACCCTATCCTATTATTATCTATTATCCAATATGAGGTTGCCTGATAAGTAAAAGGCGAATTAAGTTACTATCATAAAAGGTGTATTACTTTGTGTAGATTGAATTTTGAAAAAATTATGCAAGTTTTTTGGGACTCATTTTTAAAAAAGTCTTTTCCGATATTTTATAAATGGTCGGATCAATCAATCAACAGCATCGTAGAACTTCATACGTACGTACGTACGTACATCAGTTCAAGTTGCCATACCATATTAGCACAAGGAGATGTAATTGTCAATTCAAATTCTATAGTAGTAGAGGTAGTAAAATTATTAGCTGTAATCAGAGAGATTAGGGTTCGAGGAAATTATTCAAGAAGTAGAATCTAGTGAAAGAAACTTAAAAAGAAAACGATATACATATAAAATATTAAGTTGATATTTGCATACCCCAGTAACACGGCATAGTTGACCCTTCATTGATGGTACATAGTATGCTCCGCTTAAAGGATCACGTACAGAATCCTTACCACTGAAACATAATATATGAGAAAAAAATTAACACAGTATCAGTTATTGTGTCCTTTAATGTTCAAATCTACTAGTTATAATGCACAAAAAGATATGTTTTAATGATTAGATACTTTGAAATAAGCATGTTTGTTGATAATTATTTTTGGAGAAAACTGAAATCATATTACAGTTCCTGTTTGCATCCCATAGTTGGTGGTAAATTTGATAACATGGAATGAAGCTTAGTTTTGCTTATTTTCCACTATTTTTGTTATAATTTTCTCTTTATTTTACGACCCAGCTATTTCCTAATGCTTAGTATTCTCGGACACCAATATACTCGAGATGTTCTTCCAAATCAGAACACGGTTGAACAGGAAATAGATTATATTCCAATAACAAGGTTATATGGAAGACAGAAGTTTCCTAAGGAAAAAGACGTTAGTATATTTATAGTTTTCTCGCATGAGATTCTAGAATGTTCCCTCAGTATCGACTGGTGCTCATTGGAAACGAAAAAGCCAATCAGCGTGAGGCAATTCAATCATGCCCCAATCCAATTTTCTTCGAAATATCTCCTTCAGTGTCACCCTGAATATTTTTAATTTGGATCTGATTTGTTTCTCATAGACTGGCAGTTTTTATGTTTCGATTTCTATAGCAGTGCTTAGGGACTTATATTGCTGATAATCAGTGATAATGAATTACAAAACAAGGAGAATACAAATATTAAGAAAAAAAAACAAAAAACATTTACAATCAAGAATTATGTCTCACCGATAAATAGGTACATAAGTAGCTGCACATAAATCGAAAGGATTTAATGGATCATAACTTAGAGTATGCGAATCTTCGCATGGTGTCATTGATTCACAGGCTTGTAAAATTTTACGTGTTTGTTGAGCAACATCCATGGATGGTGCCAAATCTAATAAACGTCTTGCCATTGTTGCAGCAGATCGATAATTTTTCAGTTTATACAACAGATTCAATGCAGTTCTAAGCGTTAACATAAGATGTGGTGTTTCCAAACGACAATGTGTAAAATAGCATGCTAATTCAGCATTACGAATCTTGATTGAATAATAATAAAATAAAGAAACAAATAATACTCTATTTAGATTATGTGATAATTTTATTCATATACTTATTAATAAATGATTATTCTATGTATAGATAGTTTTCATGAGAAGCATCGAGAAGATGCTGGTACTTTCAGATTACAAGAGAAAAAAGAAAAGTACGCGGCCTATGACAGTGACATCTTTTTTTGGATACAAAGTTATGGAGAATTATTGAAATCATGAATCAATCATTGTTGGATTAGCATTAGAAACCTAGAAGTACTGCATGATCGTTCCATCCTAGTATGAGACTGTTCAGCAATGTGTATCCACGACCACTGCACTCAGCAATCCAGCCCAGGAAGTACAGTCTCGTGCACGAACGCTTCACCGCCAGACCACTGAACCAGTATGCATCGCGGTGCTAATTTTTAACTTCATTCAATAAACATTTATCAGTTCACAGTATGTATACGCTATCTCTCTTAGGATTAATACTAACAATCTGTCAGTAGAGTACAAAAGAAAAACGACAATGATATCTTTAAGGATTTGTAACTTTAGTTTTATGCTGTAATATGATCAGTTTAAGTTTAACATTTGACTGATAGTCTATAACCATTAGATGACTGTTTTATAAACAACCAATTTAAAATTATTCACAAAGAAATAATAATAAGTAGAAACGATTCAGTCGGTCTGCTCCAACGTAGAACTTCCTACATGAGTACATCGGTTCAAGTTGCCATACCGCATTAGCACATAAACGAAAGTGCCAATTCAGATCTCATAGTGGTAGACAAAGTGGAGAAGATTAGGGCTGGAAGATAATATTCAAGAAGTATAATCCAGTGAGATAACTTTAAAAATAGAAAAACAAAGATGATGAGGAATTTCTGAAGGTTAGAATTTGTGAGAACGCAATGAATGAATGCACCTGCACCATTGCAAACGATTTTGAGCCATATAGTTCCAGGTCTTGGTCTTGTCGTCTTGCGGACCTATATCTACCAACATGATTTGAGAGGAATAATTAAAAAACTCTAGATTCATAATATGATTTTATCTGACAGCAGACAATGAATGAATAAAGAAAGATAAGATCCTACAAATAGTTACAAATATCAAATGAAAAATTCTTTTGATTGAAGTGTAATTTCATAATGTTGTCAAGACAGATCACAATTAAACCATTCAATTTAGAGAATAAAACATTTTTAATAAAAAAACCAAATGGTTTTAAATAAACTTGACCAGTTAAAATTGTATCCTATAACGTACTTTGTAAAAAGAAACAAACAACTATTGTACTGTGCAAAATTTATATACAACTTACTTGTTCAGCTAATGTATCCTTTGGCATAGATTTACGTGTCATTTCCATTGACAGACCTACGATATATTCTCGACAAATATTAATTAAACTACGAGCTTCCGATTCTTCCGATGATGAATCCACTATCAATAATGGTATAGATAATAAAATTATACGAAAACGATTGATAGCCTCTTGAAATTTTCCTTTAGTTGTTAATTGATATGCTGTTTGTAGACGTGTGATTAATTCATTTAAAGTTATTACAGGAGCTGGTAGAATAGATGTTGGTGAAATTTTCTTCCTAATTTTATAATATGATATTATTTTATAAAAATTAAAGAAAAGAAAAGAATAAATTAGATTTATGTAAATGTGATGAAAATCAGAGTTGCACATTTGAATACTTACGTCTGTTACCTTCAAGTGGAGCATAGGCCGCCGATCAGCATTTTCTAACCAACTCTATCCTAAACTACCCTTTCCACTTTGGAGCAGAGGCTATTGATTTCTTATACGTCTGCCTCTAATTCTCGGTGTAGTAGGTGCCTTGGTCCACCTCATTTACTTACGTCGTAGAACTTGCCTCGCGGCACGGTTGGGTGATTTACACAATGTGCTTCCTATAGACCTCCAGCGCTTTTTCCTGATTACTTTCTCAGTTGGAATCAGGCTTTTTTTCAACGGCAGATTGATGTTACTAGTGTCTGGCCAACAGACCGGCAATATCTTGTGTAGATAACTGTTAACAGACGCCTGTATTTTGTAGACGATGATTTTCGCAGTTAGTTCTCCAAGTTTCCACTCCATGCAACAAGAACGGTTTTGACGTTCGTATTGGAAATTTCGTCTTCGATATTAGTTGGTGGTTGTTTTGATTTCCAGGTGTTCTTCAAATGTAGCGATGTTATTCTTGTATTGCAAAACCGCTTGGAGCCTTTCTAGGGTCACTACCTATTCTGAACCTGGGACAGGGATGAGGGTGGTGCACGGGGATTGGCGACCCTATCCCATATAACACAAACTTGCAAAAAAAACGCCAACCAGAGGAAACAATTTCAAACATCGCGATACAGTTATATATATATATATATATATATATATATATATATATATATATATATTGTTTTTTTAAAGGTGATTCACTTAGACGAATTTGAAAAAATATCCATTACAAATTAATGATACACTGCAACAAAACCTCAGTATTAAACACGCGTATAAATGTTTTAGAATTTGTAATGGATAGACGCCATTGAAAAAAATATTCATTTTTAAGTGTTTCATTCAGTATATTGTGAATTGGATCAAAACATTTTTTGGAATAGCTCCTTGCTTCAAATCGTTTAAGACGTTTGAATAGTGAAATTTGTAGTATATGTTATGCTCGTCAATTGATATGCTTGAAACTATTATGAGTTCACCTTAGTCGGTAAACGAGAACGAAGACAAACGATCCAGTGACACGATAAGGTTAATTTAATCCGAGCGCAGAAAGCACTAGCACTCAGAAAATATGAGGTCGACAAATACACAAGTCGAGTTTATTTATACATAATAGTAACGTCGTCGGAAGACACACAAAGATGGAGTACTAAAACAATACATCAACCAATAACAACCAAGGATCTTCCGAGTGGGAAATGAAATCTCAAGGTCAATTGATCAGTCTATGCTCGAAAACATAAGAAATCCAAAATTAGGACCTTTAAGAAGTGAATTCTGGGAATCTAACGTCTCCAACAGAAAATTAATATAAACACGAAATATATAAATAAATTCATTATCAGTAAATCAATCAATAAATTTACCAGTTACGTTGTGGATATGCAAACTGTGACGGTACCAATGGTAATGCCATACACATTGTACGTGATGCACTGAACAAATTCATGAAAATTGTTTTATACGGTTCAAAGTTAACTATTCCAACCTGTAAAATTGAAGAGAAATTATTTACTAATTTATTTCATACACTGACGAGATCATAAAGTCAACAATCATCTAACCTGATTCAACGGGAAACTTGAAAACTAGCCTACTTTAAGAATTTGTTGAATAACTGGTGATTCTCTATGAACACACAAAATGTTTCAAGCGGCTCTCTACAGTTGATCATGTAGTAGTTACATTATTTGTTAGAGTGATGATCTAGAAAAAACAATCAGTCAGCTAGTCAATAACAACCTAGAACTCCGTACGTACATACGTACGTACATCAGTTCAAGTTGCCATAACACGTTAACACAGAGATGAAGTTGTCACAGTTTACATTTAAAAGTTTTAGTAGGTGTTTGTAAACAAAAGCATCACGGATATCACTTTTCATCTTACTTGAGCATTGAGTAGACGCATTGCATTCACCCAATTTCCGGCCATTATTTGATCAGCTGGTAAATTAGAATTTTCACTCCATAAATAACTATTAGGTCGACCAGGTGATGGAGCAACATAGGCATTCTCCACTTTATTCGTTAAAACTATACTAGGATTTTGAAGATCAGTGGGTAATTCTAAATCCGCATCATTGATATCCCATCCACCATCATCATCTGGATTTTTATCCCCGATTTCACTTGAATTTATTGCATCATCGCGAATGTCTAATTTATCTTCGAATTCATTGGATTCTAAAGCAAGAAACAAAATGCAATTTTTGAATATGAATCATTGTGATAACAATGAATTATGATTAGCAATAGGGTTTTGTGAAGATTTTAAAATTTTTCATAGTTTCTCAATTACAAGAATTAATGTTGACTAGACCAATGTTGTAAAACCTGTAAGTACTGGACAGGCATTTTATTCTAGTATGCTGCTTCTCAGCAATGGACATTCACAGGGTGTCACACTGAAGATTCTCAGTCTCATGTGCAAATGCTTAAACTTTAGACTAATGAGCCAGCCAAAATTTGCGACTAAATCCCAATGCATGAGGTGGATAATTATATCATCTCTGGCACAGTTGAATTCTACTGGTCATAACTTCTAACATGAACAATTTATCCTAAGGCTTCCGGGTGATGGTCTAACCGAGATCGCATCATGACTTAAAATCTATAGAGATGAATTATGAACAAAACTAATGACAGTTCTAACTTAGTATAGACAATTCGAGGTTGAGAAATATTTCTTTGTTCATAGTGTTCCTGTTTCATATCGATCAAGTTTATTTATACGTTCCATAAGATGTTTTTGTATAGTAGAGCTAACAGCGGGATTTTAGTGGTGCGTTTCATTGAATTTGAAATTTATTTGGTGATTCCCAAATCTTGGTATTTACATTCAAATTCAAACTAAATACTTACTGCTAACGCATTGTCCATTAAGATATCGAATTATGATAAACACGAACTTGTTTGACGAGTGTGGTATATTTATATACATATATTGTCAACAGTTACAAGTTTTATTAGCATTTACTTCGCATTCACATATTAACAGGGATTGATATAAATTAGTTCTGAATATGGACAACAGAAGAAAATAAACTCTTTTAGGTGAATAATAGCATCATCTACAGGTCTTTACACATCACAATAGACCATGCCTAAGACTGATTATAACCACGATTAGCTTCTATATTATGAATGATCTTGATTTGTTTCATGCAGGAGTGTTGGGGACGGTAGGTAGCTAGAATTCACTTCTTAAAAGTCCTTATTTTGGATTTCTTATGTTTTCGAGCATGGACTGATCAGTTGACCTTGAGATTACATTTCCCACACCGGAAATCCCTGACTGTTATTGGTTGATGTATTATTTTAGTACGCCATTTTTGTGTCTCTCCTAAACGACGTTTCTATCATGTATAAATAAACTCGACTTGTGTGTTTGTCGACCTCATATTTTCTGGGTGCTTGTGGAATACACTTTCTATACCATATCAAGACTTCTTCATCTACTTAGTGGGGCATTGGGACGCTCGGATTAAAGTAACCTTATCGTGTCACTGGATCATTTGTGTTCGCTCTTGTTTACCGACTAAGGTGAACTCGTAATAGTTTCAAGCATATCAATTGACGAGCAAGACAAGGAGAGAGCGACTCTTATGTTTCTGATCTTAGCAGAGTTCAATGTATGTATAGCAGCATAATAGTAATGTTGGAAATGTTTATGGTCGTGATTACATAACAATTTAAATCTGGAGTTTGATGTAGTTTCGAGTTAAATTAAACGATTAGTGAATTTAATGAAATTACGAGCAGTTAATAAAAATTTAAAACACTAACATAATAATTTAAAACTAACCATCAAGTTCCAGATTAGCATCTTTTCCCCAAGCACCTTCAGGTACATCCTCTGTGTCTAAAAGTAGACTGGCTGATACTGTGGAAGTACCAATTATCTTGTTATCTTGTTCATCAATTCTATCACCTGATTTTAATGCAGCATTTCGACGTTGAGCTATTGCTGATTCAAAGAAATTCAATTGTACACTAAGTAGAGGCCAATCATTTTCTAACGGTTTTCCATCAATAATTTTATCAGCTCGAACGACAGGTGGTGATGGCATTATTAAACAAGCATTTGGATTAATTTCTGGTATAAAGGAAACATTGGAATCAACGGATGCAGATTGCAATGATAATGCAGTGAGTTGATCTTCCAATTCTTTAGCTTCTTGTTGAAGGCCATGTGTAGCAGCGGTAAGATAGGCAAGTGGTTCTAAAAAAAGATATGTACAGATATATATATATGCGTCAGTCAGACACAAATGTTCATGAAAATGACAGAATACACTTCCTCACATCATATTTCGTTTTTTTCCTTACACGTATGCACATTACAGTTATATTTATCAACTTGGTACGTGAATTTGTAAAAAGAATTTATGATCCAAAGTTATGGCATTGAAATCAGACATAGCAAGAATTGCAAAGATACTTGGTGAACAGGATGATATTGTGCCGGCTTCTTCGACACTACGATGTACTTGAGAAGATGGTCAACATCCAACCGAATCGTCGCTCAAACGTAGCACAACTATTTGGACTTCGCAGCTGGAGTAGCTCTTTTATTCTACACAAAACAACAAATTTAGATGAAGACGGCTAGTGTAGCAGCAACCTGTGCAGAAGTAGGTTTCAGTATGCACAAGGGTAAAGGAAAGATTCTACGATGCAACACAACAGGCACCAACCAAGCCACACTTGGTGGAGGGGCTTTGGAAGTTGTGGAAACCTTTACATATATGGACAACATCATTGGTAAACAAAGAGAATCTGATGAAGACATAAAAAACAGACTGGCAAAACATAGACAGCATTTCTACAACTGAAGAGCATCTGGAACTCCAAACAAGTATCAATCAACAAATTTCAATACGAACGTCAAAACCATTCTATTGCATAAAGTGGAAACTTGGAGAACTACGAAAGACATCATCAACAAGATAGGTGTTTATTAACGATATTCTGCGCATGATACTCTGAATCAATTGGCAAGAATTTATCAGCAACAATCTACGGTGGCTAAGGACAAACCAGACTACAGCTGAAGGAGAAATTAGGAAGAAGCGCAGGAGGTTTATAGGACACATATTGAGGAAATCGCCCAACTGCGCCGCGAGGCAAGCCCTAACTTGGGATCCTCAAGGCTAAAGGGAGAAATGGTGGACCAAGGAAAACACTGTGTCGGTAATTGGAAACAGTAATGAAAAAAATGAACAGCTATTATTTAGAAGTGGAGAGTTGGTTGGATAACGATGGTTAGTGGCCAATGATCCACTGGCGGTAACAAGAGTGAGTAATTAATAAATATATAGCCTAATGTGAAACAATCTTAAAATAATGCGGAATGCTTGTAACTTAATGATCACAACGACTCCAATATGAAATGTTTTACACTTTGAAAACCGACAGGTGTATTTATTTTAGTTTTCCAAGTTATAAGTTGAATAGTTCACTAGTGAGCTATATGAATTTTTTTTAAAGATTGAGAAAAGATGTGATCTTCTGATGTTTTATCAGTATGAAACTTGAGAATAATAGTTATTTTCAGCGCTGATTATTTTTGACTGAAAAAATCTTCCACAATTTGTTTACTTACTTTGTCCACAATTACGTAACAGTTTTACACGTTCAGCAACATCGCCCAAAAGTAATGCAATATGATAATGACTTGATGTGTCTTTTCGAATTTCAGCTAAGATAATTAAAAAAAGAATAGTTTTTAAAAATAAAATAAAAAAGGCAATCAATATTTATTCTACTGATAAAATAATCAAGTCTAGGGGTAATTTTATATATAATACAAATTATTCGTGTTTGATTGAATACATCAGGTTTACCTGTACTGCAATATCAATATTTAGAAATAGGATTTGCAAATAATAAATCATAAATTAATTATAACTGTTGTAGTGAGTGCTTCCATGTCTAGCTCATAGGGCTCGTCCCACTTGTCTTTTGACCTTGTCAGTCATTCGCTCATATCTACGTTGCTTTTATTCGTATGTGTGCACGCCTATCTCGCTTATTACATGTCTGGCCCATTTTTGTCTCATTATAAATTCTTAGTCATGCTTAATCGAATGGAGTTGGCTCTCTCGCCTACTTCACTTCATTTTGCTTTGCTTATGTGCTTTTTCTTATCCTGTCTGTCTGCATGAACGATCGTCTGAAATAAATTCATCCAACCGAATCCGTATTTGGCTTCTTATTATCCCCGTCGCACAAACGGAGTTCGCCCAAGTATGATATACGGAAACTGGTGGGGAGATTTATTTCACAGAATATTTAAATGTGCATAAATACTGGGTCGCAGGGCCATTAAAGTAGTGAACCCAAGAACGAATCGAATACAGCAACACTGTAAGTAGTGACTATCGTGAGAGAATGAACGAAAACAACACACAATAAAATATCATAAGAATTACTATTTATTTAACTGAACATTTATCTAATATTAACTATGGTTAAGCGATAGAAGAAACCCGAAAGCATTCACTAAATAAAGTTAATGAGTTGAATAATTGAAGAAACTCTTAAATTCAGTTACCCTGCCTGTCGGATATATGAATGTATGAAAAGTGAAGTTATTTTTGAAAACATAATAACTAATGGTACAAAGAAGCACCTAAATATTTATGCGCCACACAAATCACTGAATTTTTGTGGGCTAAGATAGTGTACTACGGGTGCCCAAACGGAATCAGGTGGCTTGCTTAGGGAGCCACTCCTTAGATCTTTGGCATATAGGTCTAAGTTACAAGGCATTGGAGCCACGTTAGAAGATGCAGTTCCAGAATACTCAGTGACCAGCAATAGGTTCGTAAGCCATTTGTTCCCTCAAGAACCTTAGGCCAATGCGCACCATTGGTTTGGAATAATAGTTTTTATAACCCACGGAAGTGGATCTTCCGTACTCACCAGCCCGGTTTAAGTGTGAAAAATTCACTTATAGTCCTTTCAATTTTGTAAACAACACTCCCACCAGGAGAAGGCAGTGAATGAGACTTCCATCCTAGTGGTTACAGATGAGTGACCAGTGTGCCATTGCGAATTCCCTTCCCTCTCAGTTGTGCCAGAGAATTTGGGAGCCACGAAAAGTAAAGGTGCCAATCGAAGTGTGATGAAATAGCACAGTTATTTTTAAATTAAATAGATTTTCCAATAAGTGTTTTATGTATGAAGCGGTAATAAGTAGATAGTTTGAAATTAATTTTCTCAACTATCCCACTTAATAAGGAAGTTTAGTTGCAAACAGTTAGCAGTAGAATGCAACCACTGTAACGTAAAATTATCGATAGAACTCAGCAATATAATCAATATGAGCGTGCATGGAACACAAAAATGATAGAACAGTCTAAACTTACCAATTTTCATCATTTTTCTTAATTTTTCAAAATTTCCAGTAATCAAATATAAGAAAGTGAGTTTATCAAAATTTTTAGTTCGCTGATAAGTCATTTCGACCAGTTGTAATTTGCCTTGTTTCAAAGCTAATTCACCAAGTCTTTCCCAGCAAGCTTTATCGTCCAATGCTTGAGCAGCTTCTAAGCCAACATCTAATTGGCCACAATCCATAGCTAATGAAAATCGTGTACGTGCATCTTTGACAAAATGTAGTGCAACTTCTGGATATCCTTTCTTTTCTAAATAACCAATGATAGCTTGACCAACAAGATTTGAATTACGAACCATATGAAGAACCTATGAGAAGGAAATTTTTCTCAATAGTCAAAAAATGAAATATAGAATCCGTTGGATAAAACGTCACATGAAAGTAATATTTTAATGTATGTAACTACTACAGACAAATGATTGAGGTCACGCAAAAATCTCAAGGTTGATCAAAGTTAGACATTAACACCGTTGGATGCCGGGCACAGTGGTTCATAGGTTAGGTGTTCGTGCGCAAAACCAAAGGCTTGATTCCTGCGAGGTGCACGAGTCGTGGATGAGCACTGCTACCACGCATCTAATACTACTGGTCAAACAATGATGGATTGATGATTTCAATGTGCGAAAAATATAGTTTTACAAAATATCTAAATGTATGATAAGATTTATACAACACAGAGAACAACTTGAAACTATGGCATGTACACAGAGCAAAAGAGAAGCAAGAGTATATTTAGTCTCATTTAATCCAATCACTAAACTTTAAAGTAATGAAACTAGTTCATTTTTACGGCTAGTAAATAGAAATTTCAGCTGTTTACTTTGATAAAAATTATGTAGTTTTCAGATAAAAAGAAAATTATTAACTAAGAGTGTTCGTGAAATACATTCACAATCGGTCAAACGTGCAATAAATATAGAAATTGAAAATTACAAAGAATGAGAGGCAGAGAAACAATCATTTTTGCTCATAAAAACAATGAAGAGATATGATTTTGAGAATGCATAAATTTACGCCTGTAACCAGAAATCTGTACACATTCGGATTCTTTAGTACTAGTGTGGTGCGCGCTACTTATAAGTAGTATATGACGTGAGTGTAAACGTAATGTCTGGCAGCAGAAATTCACCTTTGTAAATAATGTTACCAAAAATACTCAATCACTGAATAAACTGAAGCGAGACTAATTAGCTCTTATTATGGTGCTGTGGTGCGCTCTACTTATAAGTAGCATATGACGCGAGTGTAAACGTAATGTCTGGCAGCAGAAGATGAGGGAAGATCAAGAAAGGGAGAGTGGGAACACAATGGAATTTGTATGAAACGCATGAATAGTGAAATGTCAGACAATGGATTGAAGATTTGCAAATTAACGGTTACGATATGATTTTCCTATTTTACTGAGTAACTCTGTAATTTTCGTTAAATACAATTCGGTTGCCCTCACCTGTGTTCTCCTTCACTACACTAGTATCATATAATATACATCACATAAAATGGATCAACTCGAAAATAAATTAAAAAAAACAAATAGATGAAATAAACACTTACTTCTTCATATCGATGATTAACCAGTGCTAATTTAAAACGAAACTCTGTAGGATCTATTGTGAATACAAGCGGTGAACAATCCCTATTAATACAATATACTGAATTGCCACGAACACGTGCAATGTAAACAGGTAATTCAAGGGTTCGAATTATTCCATAATCACTGGCATTAAATAAATAAAAATTAATCATTATAATTAATTAAATGAACGTATTATTTAAAAATTAATATAAAATAATAATATAATTTTACAATTAACTCGTCATTTAGTAAGAGTCAGTCAATCAGTTAGAACGTAGAACTTCGTACGTGCGTACACACCAGGTCAGATTGCCATAGCATTAATGGTACGGAATGTGGGAAGAGTTAGTCGTGGAGATAAGAGACATGTTAGCGGGTGTGGGAAGAATATGTTTGTGATCAATTCGGTTTCGCGTGCTGTGACGGGTATAAGAGCGGATGTCACTTCCCGGCTGCCCACACCATGGAAGGATGCTTCTTGAGGAACCTGAAAATGAAAGTAGATTAGTGTTGGTTTTAACGATCTGGGAGCGTGACCGCAACTACTTGAGGCCGGTCACGCACTGCCTTTTTATGGGTAGTATTTAAAGTGTTAGCTCCGTTCTTTTTAAAAGGTCGTACCGCCGGAGACGGAAATCCGTGAGGTAAGGTGAGGTGTGACATTTTTAGGGTCAACCTTTTCTAACCCTAACTTCGTTGTGAGAAGGCAGCATCGCTGCAGATACTAGTTGTCCGAGGGGAACACGTTAATGTTGTCACAACCCTCTATATTCAGCAGTATGACCTTGACCTCATCCTTTATGTTGGTGCCTTTAGTCTTACAGTTCTCCAGCACAGCTGCCTGGTATAGTGAGATCCAGGAGAACACGTGTTCTAGCAGACATAGTTCGAGCGAATCATTACGATAGGAAAGCCGACCACCATGTCAAGGTAACAGGCATATCCTTACGCAGGGCAGTTTATGGAAGTTTAAAGTGCAAGATACAGTCTCTAGTACAAAATACTAATACAACTAAGGTGATTAACTCTAACTGCAGGTCTATCTCGGGATGAGAATAAATGTTTACAGAGTGAAAAAGTGAAACTAATAACACACACATCAAATTCGGAGGCGGAAGCTATAATGATTGGAAAAATAGTTTAGCTTAGTAATGGAGACTTACCCATTTAAGAGACAATATTTAATATGGTTACTTGTTGTATAAACGAAAACACCATGTTCTTCCCAAGCACCACTTTTAATTCTAACTGTTTCATGTACAGTAGCTTTGATTTCTAGATGTCGATCGCATAAATAAAGATATAGTTTAGTGGACATTGCAACATATTGACCATCAGGAGACCAAATAACATGACGAATGTACTAAAATGTATGAAAGGTAAATAGTTTAATTAATAAGATAATCAAAGTTTGTTACGTCACTACAGAAGCTGATGAAATGAGAATACATCAAACCTTCTAGGAATCATGCCTTTTCAAACATTAGAAATGTAAAGCTTTATGTCAGCAGTATATGGTTACGCACTAATCTTAGAAAGCACAGCTACTCAACTACTCAATACAGAAAGATTGTTCACGTTAAGAGATTGCCATTCTCGGTTTGATCACTGGTGATATTGGGGATGTGCATCCGTGAAGACCGAACAGCCATTCAATGCTCCTTGTCTTTTATCGATCGTCTAGCTAAGGTCTATCCATAATTTATGACACCCAAATTTTTTATGAAATGTCTTGTCTTGATTCTTTTCATACGAACAGAATGCAAAGTTTCAGGGTAATATATGTATAGATGAAATTGACTGTGGTTAGCAATGAGACTTAACTTGTTAGCTGCAATTCAAACTCATAAGAATTCAGTTACTAACGCACATAATTTAAATGTCTGTTTTGCATAAATCTGAAGTATTATGCACTGTAACATATTGTGTTGCTATTATACTGAGTTAAATAATTTACAGGAAAAAAAATATCAATAGAATATATTTACCTTAATATGTTTCAATGTTGACAGAGTACGCTTATTTGCAACATCACATAGACTGATTCCATTAGAATCACGAATTAATAAATTACCAGTTCCAGCATAGAAAAATTGATCAACACCAGAATAAGATACTTTTTTAACAATTTCATTCGAAAGATTTTTTATAACAATCTAAATAAAGAAAGAAGATGAGCAAAAACAATTAAGATACTGGAGACTAAAGCCATAATAATGATATGATTTGAGAAAATAAAACTGTAAGATAATTTGATATGTGTTGTGTCTATCTCTAACAAGTCTCTATATCAACTGATGTTATAGCTAGTGTAAGAGTAAGTTGAAAGAAAGCTAACGAAATCCAAACCTAACTGTGGTGTCACTTCATTTGAGACATGTTGGTGGTAACCATAGACTACCACCTGGTTGACATGTGAGCGATAATCGCTAGTAGTGAGTGAGGTTGAATGAAATGGTTTGATGGAAGTATTCACTGTTTATCTCTTTCTACATATTGAGCGCCAGTATTTCTTCATGTATACTTTTTGATTCGGGTTTTTTGGAACCTTATGATCAATGTTAAATCTTTCTCAGTGTTATTACTGTTATTTTATTAGTTTGATTCATTTTGTTAATTTCAACTCTGTTACGCATACACGTAAACATGTCGACTTGATATGCTTGAACTATTACAAGTTTACCTTAGTCGGAAAACGAGATCGAGGATCCGGCGACACGACACACTACTTTAATCCGAGTATCTCAACCCCTCATTGAGTGAAAGAAGAAGACTTGATATGAAGTAGAACCTGTATTCTACAAGCATCCAGAAATTACGAGGTCTGAGTTCGGCAGAGAATCAGGATCCCGGACTAGGGATCCGAGTCATAAAACGTTAAGGATAATGAGTTAGGTCAAATAGGAAACAACATTCAACTTTTCTAAAAGAAATGACAGTTAAAAATGATTCTCGACTTGAAAACAGAAGCAAATGACTTAGCTGATGAAAATTAAAAACTCAGTGTAAGCTATAAAATTAAAAAAAAACTCATTCATATCTAAAATTTTCCTGAATGTTGATGATTTAAACTGAGAAAATTCGCCCAGTTATGTTCCTATAGTCATTCTTTATTCATAAAATGTATCTATTAACACTTCAATGAAAAGTATATCATCCGAGACTAGAAATCGCCATATACATTAATTATTCTACAGTAACTGTGATGAATAGTATAGAAGTATGCGGTAAAAATCTAATTATAAACATTCTTCTCAAAGATCGTGAATCACAACAGTGATTTTATGCCTTTTTTACACTACAAGATTTCTATTGTTTACTTTTCGAACTAAATTCTATGCATCTGATATCTTCATACAGTTTCGATGGTATTTCGATTCTGTTACTGAGGATCCAATAAATTTTCTCTCTCTTTGTATTGATGCAAAGTACAACAAATTGAATTAATACCGATTTACAACAAATCTTACAGATTACATTTATATTACCTCGCAGAAAAAAAAATCCGTTATGAAGTATTTAAAATGAGAAAAAAAATATCATAGTACATAAAAAGTGAATAAACTCAAAAGAAAAAGAAGATACTACTCACCGATCCAGAACTCTCTAAAACTGCAAATCTATTACGACCGATCCAAGCAACAGCCATTCCGCTACCTGATCGACTTTCCACATGTTCAGGTTGAGTATTACTACTATCCATTGTTTTAGGTAACATATACAAATCATATACCATATTAGTTCCACTTGTTACGGAAGCACTAGCTGATGAGTTTAGCTCACTTTGACGTGGTCGACTTAAGACTAACATAGCATTCTCAATTGGATTATAACCAACACTTACAGGCTGACCACGACCTCTATTGAAAGTAAAACAATATATACAAAACTAATAAATTTTCAATTTTATAACAGTGAATAATATTTACCTGATTTCTTGGTTATTTTAACTGTTTTTAAAAATGAAAAAAATATCAATGAAATTATTAGTCTTGTTTTTTCTCAAAAAATGCAATACATTATAAATTAAAGGAACGACTATGTGATCTACAATAAATTATCAAACTTATCGTTAGAACAAAATTCTGGTAATTTAATTTATTAGCAAACTCATCAACATAAAGTTGGGAACTGAAAGCGTATTTATTCATACTGATAAATTAGTTAATGAAATGAAAAGCATTGCAATTTATCAGTTTCATCAATTCACATAGGTACATCTTGTGCAGATTACCTCGATGTAGCCAGTACGTCACAAGCGTTACATGTAGAGATGGATAACGCGATAGCGTCCGCAGCAAACGGTACTGGGTTCGAGTCCCGAAGTGAACATCAACTCTGAGATGTAGGTACAACCAGTGGACGACTCCCATAAAAACCGAAACGCACGTTTTGGATTCCACTGCTAGCTACCATCTATCCCTGTTTATGATTATATTTAACTGTTTCGAAAAGTATATCATTTGGAATGAAGTTTTAGTTACGTATTGTTGAAAACTATGACACATAATTTAATTCTGCAGTTTAAAAAAACAGATAAGCGAAGTTTCACCACAGTTGTCCGCTCAAATTATTCCTCATTTACAAAATTGTAGGTAAACAATCTTCATATAATCAAAGGGAGTCTGAAAATGAAAATATCTTAAACTAATAATCAAAAAAGTACTATTTTATTAAACCTAAAACCAACAATGTAGATAAATAAATCGAATCCAGAGGGTATGTTTCCCTGGATGTATGAGAAGGCGATTCAGATACGTGGACATATCCTGTCCACTAAGGCGCGACGTGCGACAGCTCCCACCCACATTTTACAAGTTTGCAAGTGTCCAGCGATTACGGATCACCAGACATAACCACGTAGTAACGAAGTTAGAAGGATCATTGAGACGATCAGTTTACTCAGTGTTGAGTGAGGCTCATATTCCTAGCGGTCGAACCTATTTAAAACCGGACCTAATGGCCTACAAAGGTGATGTAGCGAGGGTTATCGATGGGATTATATGCTCAGATGACAGATTACGGGCATCTTGGAACGCAAAGATACGAAAGTATGACACAGCAGAACTAAAGAGCGCTATCGTTTGCTTGTCAGTAACCTAGGCGGGCTAGTGAAGGTGATTCGACATCTTCCAGTATTACTAACATGCGAGGAATTATGGAAAGATCAGAAGCCGGTCTCTTGATATCAGGCTTACACGGGCACGCGGTAGCCTGGTTTTGCAAGCAGATGATTGTCGGATCGGCCATCTGTTATGATGCCTACATGAAGCAATAAAATGGGGGCAAGTACTGTGATAATAGGGGCGAAACTTCATTTTGCTATTCACCCAAACCAGTGAAAGGCGGTGTTACTGAAACTGAAACCTACAGGAATTGACGGATAGGTGACACTATGTGGGACATGCGGTTTGCTGTAGCAAATACACTTATAAGGGTCGTAGCTTCAGTGATCCTAAAGCGACCACGGGCGATTTGTTCAAGGAAGCAGCTGAAGGTTCCTGGTCTACAAGGCGACCGACCGTACGTGGTGACCTCGAGAACATTCTAAACCTTCGTTAAGCGTGTCAACTGGCGTCAAGACCTTGATAACAAAAGGGTTTAAATCTATGAAACACACAGGAATTGATGGTACGGAGACACTTTGTGGCTCCTGGCGAGACCCTGATACCAAAAGGGTTGACGGGACTAGGACCAAAGCCTCTAGGTCTAAGTCCCGTCCATCGATCCCATATGGTTGGGCATAATGGTCTGAGGTCTGCGCCTCTACCAGTTATGTTGTAGCAAATACGTTAAAGAGGGATGTAGTCTTGGTTGAGTTCATGACATCTACCTCATGGAAAGGTGTACGTTTCGGCTGACCTTGTGGGACAAACGCGATTCTTTGCTTTATGTGGTGTCTAGAAGGCTCCGGTCGATTGTATCACCGATTGGGGATTGTGGGTTGTGGACTGGTCGGAGGGATTGAGTTAATACATAAGCACCCAGGTGGGGGCGACTGCTCGTACGCACACAGATTGGATGTCCGACTTGCTTGCATGAGAATCTAGTCGACATGTACATACCCTTTTGAGTAAAGGGACTCGTGTGATGGCTAAACGTGTGAAACTTTGTGATGTGTAAAAAGCAGCATGTGTGCATGTGCTGGAGGCTAGTTGGTTAACCAAGATTTAGATAAATGACATGTGGCGAGATTTAACAGATATAATCTTCAGGGAAAATATGAATGGAAGTAATTAACTTCCAAAAACCATTTGTAGACTTGTAAGAAGATAAGTGTATTATTAATTAATTACTAACAATAGTTAACCACTTGGTAGCGACTAATGTCATGTATGTCTAGTACTGAATCAGATTCAAACAAGTTGTAATGCTGTTCTTGATATAATTCATGTTAAGTAATTGGTACAAAACCCGACAATATTTTATCACCATTATCAGTCATGAAAAATTCACATTCTTATCGACGATATCGCTTCACCATAATAGTTACCTAAATTAAAAAATGCATGAATTTATGTAGGTACGCGTGAAATCCGCATTGTTAGATTAAGCGCTGTACCCATACAGTTGAACTGAATGATAATATAATGAAACTAATGGAATGTTATGAAAATATATGCAGGCATAAAAACTTACTCTCGTAGTTGAATAATAGGAATATCTTTGGTAGCGGTAAAGTCTAATCGTCTTAGATGAGGAAGTTTTACATAAAACAAATAATCTTTATATACTGTAAATGCAGGTCTTTCACGTTCCAACTTGAAAACAACAAATCCTGTATCATGACCAGAAGCAAATATATTTAGTTTTGGATGAGCATTCAAAACCCAAAATCTATCAGAATCTCGACGAATAGTTGATACACAAGTTCGTTTGGCTAAATCCCATATTCTGATAGATTTATCTTCAGAATCAGAAAGTAGTAAATCTTGTCTCGGATGAAATACAACACAGCTAACATTGTTAAAATGACCACGAAGTGTATCCAACTCCCATGCTTTTGATTCTGTGATAAGAAAAATTACACAGTTGTTGAAGTCACAAATAGTTGCAAGGATATTGACTATAAAATAACATAACTCTAGGTATTAGTTATTTGTAATAAACGTACAACTTGAGACAAATATACATTAGCCATACCACTCCAGTATGATAAGATGACTAACAAATGAGTTGAAATAATAGTACTGATAAGGAGAAAGATTAAGCATTGAGAACGTGATTTTGAAAGACAAGAAGTAAATATGTGTGAAGAAATAGCAAAGTTCAAAATCTCAAGCAAGATAAGACGTGTATGCGTTTTTACCACTGTGACGGATTCTGAACCAACTCACCTGACACTCCCAACCACTGATTGTGATTACTAAATGGACAACAACCAAGTAGTCAGGATTTACCAACATGGCTCAGATCAATAATCAATAACTTCATGACCTGATGGCAAGTTCTAGTTTGGCTACCTCCAGCCAGTAGATGAGCAAATATACAATTTAGGGATATATAGATATACATATATTACAATAAGAATATGAAACTTTGTATAACAATTAGTAGTTTATAAGTTACGACCCCAGAAAGAAAAAAAAAATTGAAACATTAACATAAGTAAACGCAGAAAGTACAAATAAGTATAAATACAGCTAGGCGATTAACCAAAACCCTTCTCTTAAGACTGATATTAAGTAATTTTGATGTGACGAACCCCTGACTTTTGATATCTTACAGACCTCAGTCAGAAATTCGACAATGTCCTTTTTTTAGTTTCTCACAATCCACACTCACAAACATTGTGTTACGGTGGGTGATATCTTGTGTTATGTAACATATATCGAATCCGATCCAAAACTATGTCGATTAACAACCCATTATAGTTTAAAATTCGACATCTAAGCTTAACAGTGCTTAGAGACATTCAGAAAAAAAATACGTTTTAACGAAATAAAAAGTTATAAAGAAAAAGGAATAGTGCTTTTTCATTCAGCACAAGAATAATCTACTAACTAATTAGAATTTAATGCTCCCATGTACTAATCGAATCCATTCGCAACTCCGACTCCAATACAATGAATGAGAGTATTTATATAATCTTGTCTAACTGTTAACTAGAATAAGAAGTCCGAGTTTGTATGAAAACTTTATCGATAGAAATTAAATGATATACTTAAATCTGAAAATTTAGTACCACCTTAAAAAAGACAGGTCATTTCGAATACCTATTTGTCGCTAGCCTATTGTTATATATATATATATATATATATATATATATATATATATAATTTTGTATGTATATAATTTGACTTGTATATTCTTGGTCAAATAATATTGGACAGTGTTACTAAAGAGCTAAAAATATTTTAAATTAAGCTTACCAGTCATTCTCCATATTTTAATAAGTCGATCATCTGCCGCAGATACAACTATCGGCAAGGTTGGGTGAAAAGCTACCCAATTAACTCCACGGTCGTGACCTTCAAGCACATGACGAACAATTACTTCGGTTGTTCCAAACAATTCTGTATGACTTGGACCAAACAGATTTGAACTAGAACCACCAGGACCAGAGGAGCCTGAAAACTGTCGTGAGTGGTCCTAAACGCATTATAAAAGATCAAACGAATGGATTAAAGATAAAACGTATTTTCGAGTACATTGAAGACTGATAATTAACATGAAAAATTGGAGTCTCCGGGAGAAGGTTTATAAATTGTAATTAAATTCCGATATACATGATAATCTACACTAATAAGGCTACCTAAAATCACTCACTATAGAGTAAAGAAAAACAGCATGAAACTATGCTTTGTAAATTACACTTAATAATGAGGAAGTGAGTAATTCATAACTTTTAAAAAAGCAAAATAGTGTTGATAATTTAACAAAATCAATCAAAAATTAATTACTTCAATACTTGACAGGGACGATGGAGCCACACTCTTCTTCCGCAACCCTGACATATCCCAAACGCGCACAGTCTGGTCTAAAGATGCTGATACAATAAGATCTTCCTTCGGATGGAATTGAGCACACATAACATAATGGCTGTGTCCAGTTAGAATAGATACTATGGCTCGTGATTGCCAATTCCAAATGCGAATTGTCTGATCATCTGAAGCGCTCAAGATCCAAGGATACTCCTGATATAAAAGATAAATTGTTAAACCAAATAAAGATCGCCCTAAAATATAGTGAACTGCCTTGAAGAATACTCTTTTAATTCTATAACCATGCACATAGCTTTACCCATGACGTACTGATTAATGAGTTAACACGAGAAAAACAGGATAACGCGATATAGACCGTAGCTGCTAGCTTGACGTGGTGGTCGGGTTTGCCTATCGTGATTTTCCAACTGAGCTATATTGGCTGCAACATATGTTCCTGAAGGTTCTACCATGCTAGGCAGGTCGATTGCAGAACGATGAGACTAAAAGCAGCTACTCAACGTCTGAGAGCGAAGTCGTACTGCTGACTGCAGAGGGGTATGACAGCAGTAAGGTGTTTCTTTAGGTCAACCAGCATCTGCGGCGATGCTGCCTTATCACAAGGAAGGAAGGGTTACAAAAGGTCGACCATATAAATGTCACACCTCACCCTACCTCACGGATTTCCGCCTCCGGCGGTAAAGGTGCTCACTAAGGGCTTTTAAGAGCGGAGCTAATACTAATACTAAAAAATACCTTTCATCAAAAGTCTGTGCGTGACCGGCCTTGAGCAGTTGTCTTTTGGACTCTGCAGTCACGCATCCATGTCTCTAAGACCAATACAAGTCTACCTTCCTTTTCAGGTCCCTCAAGAAACAACCTTCCATGGTGTGGGCAGCCGGGGAATTGACATCTGCCCTCATTCGGGTAAAAGCAGATTAGACCGAATTGGTCAAAACCGAATCCTTTCTACACTTAACACCTCTCTTATCTCCACGACTAACTCTTCTCACATGCTTATATCACACTGCACAGCTAATGCAAACGATGCGAGTTCACGAAACGTCGTTCCTGGTCTCCTTAAACCCCGTTCTACACTACATGTTGGAGCTTTTAATGTACGGACATTGTGGCAAACAAGGCAATAGGCTTCCTTAGGTAGGACTATGGAATCTCGTGCCATCGATGTATGCTGCGTCTCGGAAACGCGCGTGTACGATCCTAGTAAAGTCAATAATCTGATTTCACCTTGTCAGAATAAAGAAGAAACTCGATTTACTCTTCGTGTATCTGGAAGCCCTGATGCTGCTTACCGCTGTCTCGCTGGCGTAGGTATAGCATTGAGCCGTAGAGTTGAACTATCTCTCCTATACTGGATCCCAGTAAACAGTCCTTTGTGCGCTGGCCGACTAAACCGGACAGTAAGAACTCACAAGGATAGGGACACCCGTAGTTGCCTCTTCGTCGTATCTGCCTATGCCCCCACCGACTGCAGCTCAGATGAAGTTACACATGAGTTTTACAGAAAGCTTTCGGACCTCCTCCAAAAAGCTAGGCGCTCTGATGTAGCAATAATGGCTGGTGACTTTAATGCTCAAGTAGGTAGGCTAAGTGAAAATCAAAGACACCATGGTGGATGTTATGGTGTCGCGTCTCAGAGAACAGACAATGGCGACCGTCTGTTGCAACTATTCTCAGATAACCACTAACTTTAATCATAAGACACCTTTTGACCTAGCGAACCCCAAAACCGACCCAACTACATCACATTGTCAGCAGCCACTGATGGAGGTGTTCGATAGAGGACTGTTGCTCGTTCTGGGGCACATGTTTAGATTCAGATCATGCCCTAGTGCGAGCTCGTATTTGTTTGAGGCTTACTAGACGTAGGAATGACACCGCAAGGAAACCTCTTATGGTTCTACTTAATGACAGTAAAGCTAAAAATGTATTTCAGGAACAACTAGAAAAACAGTTAGGCGACCATGTAAGCGATTTCCATCCAAAGGCAGGTTTCAATGATATCAAAAAGACTGTGGAAACAGCAGTGATATCTGCTAACAAGGTAAACCATAAGTCTACGAAGAAGCCGCAGATCTCAGTAGCATCAAACTGATAGACGCTCGAAAACTCATCCCGTCTGGCTCTGAGTGAGATGAGGAGCGGAGTCAGCTTAGGCGCAGGCTGATAAAAAACCTACCCAATGATCGAGAACAGTGTTGGGTGGCGAAAGCGAGAGATGGAAAAGGCAGAGGCGATAGGCAACAGCAGACAACTATCCAGACTCATCACAGAAACTGGTATTGGGAACCCAAATGTGCATCAGACTATTTCGGAAAAGGATGGTCTTATTATCCATTCTCAATCCAGGAGACTGGACCGATGGGCAGAACACTTTAGGGATCAGTTCAACTGGCCTCGAGCCACACTTCGGTTACCCACGATTTCCAGTCATCTTGAATGGCCAATCGACGTAAGTCCCCCAAATCTTTATGAAGTTCAGAAAGCGTTAGGAAATCTGAAGCGAGGGCAAGTTTCAGGTCCTGATAGACTGGCCCCTGAGATTTTTAAGGATGGTGGTACAATTTTAGCAGCTAGGTTGACTGAGATCTTAAGTAGAATCTGGAAACTAGACGTAATCACATCTGACTGGTCTCAATCACTGACTGTACCAATTTACCAGAAAGGACAGAAGTCCTCTTGTGACAATCACAGAGGAATCAGCCTAACTAATATAGTGTCGAAAATGTTGGCCTCCGCTATACTTCGACGCCTAACCAGAGCTCGTGAAGAGCAGACTATAAAAAACCAGGCTGGTGGTTCCAGACCCGGACGTGGCTGTATAGTATAGACCACATCTTCACACAACGACAGGTCCTGGAACACAGACACACATTTAGACGTCCGACAATAGTTGTGTTCCTGGACCTTAAGGCGGCATTCGACTGAGTGGATGGTGAGGTTTTAGGGCAGTGTCTGTCATTGAAAGGTGTACCAATGAAGTACATTAGCTTTATACAAGCTCTCTACTCGAACACCACTGGTCGAGTGAGAGCATATGGTGAACTGTCATTGCAATTCTTTACTTTAAGCGGTGTCCGTCTGGGCTGTCCACTTTCTCCATTCTTGTTTAATTTTATCATAGACATCCTCTTAGAGTTGACATTAAGCTCGTCAGATTTTTTAGGAGTTGACCTTCTACCAGGAAAGTCGCTTACTTATCTAGAATATGCCGATGACATTTTCCTATTCGGTGAAGACGCTGACAAAATGCAGAGTCTTCTGACTACCATAAGCAACAATGCAAGCATGTTCGGGATGCGGTTTTCCCCCTCGAAATGCAAAATGTTGCTTCAAGACTGGGTTGCATCGGCACCTGAACTAGTGATAGTGAGTGAAGTAGTCGAGCTTGTTGATCGCTTCACCTATCTGGGGAGTCTCATCAGCGCTGATAGCCTAGTGAATGACGAAATCCCAGCGCAGATACAGAAGGCTCGATTGGCTTTTGCCAACCTGCATCAGTTATGGCTTAGGCGGGATATGCGTTTGCTGACTAAATAACGAGTGTACTGTGAAGCAGTTCCCTCCGTCTTACTTTATGGCTGCGAAATATGGCCGTTAAGAGTAGAAGATGTTCTTAGGTTACTAGTATTCTATCATAGATGTTTAAGAAGTATTGCTCGTATATCGTGGGACAACCGAGTAAGCAATGCTGTCGTTAGGAAACGAGTACTAGGTAAGGATGGCAGATCAATAGATGAAGTGGTGAAACTTCATCAGTTGAGGTGGTTGGGACATGTGTTGCGTATGCCCAACCACCGACTGCCTCGACGAGCTATGTTTTGTGGTGTAGGAGTAGGTTGGAAGAAAGTTAGGGGCGGGCAGACCAAAACATGGCACAAATCCATGTAGTCACTGACAAGTGGACTGAGTCATGATGGTAGATGTAGACTACCTGGTTGGGGTCCGCGAGACGAAAGTCACCAATGGTTAGAAACCTTGAACGACATGGCTCGGAATCGTTTGCATTGGCGCAAGTGCATCCATTATTTGTGTTCTCTCAAATCCTAATCTTCTGGATTCTTCATCACCCCTACTTTTGTCTTTTTAAACTCATCTCACTGAATCATACTTCTTGAATAATATCTTCTAATCCTAACCTCTCCGATTACTGCTAATACTCCTGCTATTGGACTTGAATAGAAAATTACATCTCTGTGCTAATGTCGTATGGCAACACGAACTGATGTACCTAGGTACGAAGTTCTACGTTCCATCTGACTGACTGAGGCAAAACTAACTTTGAAAGTAAGTTTTTAAATGGTGATTAAGAAAAAGATTCGTATCTCGTTCAATTAAAAGGTCTTATGAGGAATGGCGAAAATATATAATAAGGTAGCCTTATATTGATTTGTTTTTATTGTACTCACTGTTTACAAATACGGTGAAACAGTAATGCCTCAAAGCATCTAGCAAGATCATATTAGTCCAACGGACAAGTTCAAGATGACAACTATACATATGTGAATTGGGAAAATGAAATTAAATGGTTTAAAATTTCATATAAAGAAAACGAAGCATGTCACTAGACAGCCGAAAGATAACTTACTTTATGAAAGAACGTAGTTCTTATGTAGTCTAAGTGACCAATCAAGTTAAACAAGCATTTTCGCTGTTTGTAATTCCATACCCTGATTTTATAATCATCTCCTCCTGAGACAAATAAAGGTTGGTTTGCATGGAAATCGATGCCACGAACAGGACCCTCGTGTCCTTCAAACTTTTCGATAAGCGTACAACTCCGATAATCCCATAACTGTATAATTCCTGTATGAAGACTGCTAAGAATCCATGGTCTTTTAGGATGGAAAGCTAATCCTGTCAAGTAGAAAGTTTATGAATTTTGATGCAAAGAATTTACAACAAATGGCATACACCACTGAAAATACGGGAAAAGCCATTCTTGTAGAGGCCACAAATACTAAGCAGATCTTGTGACCAACTTTATGTTCAGGAAAACTGGTAGTTAAGTGCAGACTTGCACGTAATGAGAATATCATTTTAAGAAATTAGTAAAAATAACTTAAGAAATAACTTACAATTGCCCCGATTCGGTCAGAGTATTACAAGCTACTTAACTACTATTGGATTAGTTCCTGGTACCGTACACATATTGGAACATTAGAAACCTTGAGTTATAGCTTACTCAGTTGTCAGTATAAGTACTGAGTAAATAATTATTTAAGCTAACTTCCAATCCATGCTTTTAAATACCGGAGAACCAGTATTAAAATGGCAAGAAACCACATCTACATTTACAATTTGGGACTCAAAACTGGATCAAAATTTATATATTTAACGTATTCTTATTAAGAGCGTAAAGACCAAGGCTACTTATTTAGTAGATTGGATTATCTGAAAATAAAAGAAAGCTTATTTTCGTGTGACCGGTTTACCAGAGTAATAACGAAGTTAGAGGCGTTAAGGAATGACTAGCTCCAGAACACGGATTCTGTATTTTTTCAGTGTAATCACAATGAAGCCATACGCAATGAACTCATAATCTCACGTTACATAATTAACAACATTCTCTTGAATACAATTTACACGTGGTTTTAAGTTGAAATTTCTTGTTTGAGTTCTGCTTATTTGGGAACGGACAGTATACGAGGAAATCCCCGGGGAAAGAGCTTCAGGAAAAGGATAGCATTTACCAGATTATTTTACTGGTGACGATTATAACGCGTGATCACTACTAATCATGTATACCTAATTTCAACAAAATTATTCTTATTGAGCGTCAGCATGCACTTAGACAGCGAGCATAGTTCCGAATTCGAATTAAAGTAGATGAGTCGAAGACTGTATGTCTTATAATCGGAGTGAATACTAACATGTATTCATACTTTTTCAACTACAGATACAATTGTCTCTTGGGGTACTATAAACGAACTGGGAATTCATCTAACACTGAGAAACCTACGTTGTTAATTTAACTTTCAGTTAAAAAGTATTACCCTTAACTCTAGCTGATTTGCAATCAAATTTCGACAGGTACGACATCCGCCAGGTTGGAAGACGTTAAATTACTGCTCCAACTTTCAGCACACATAAACAAATTGCCAATGCTGTAACAACTATGAACTAGCACTCCGTTGTGTCACAGTACCAGAGGATACATTTTTTCATGAATATGTAAAATTTCTAACTTTCCACATTATTGTGACTTTCTAACTAAAATGCAGTTTCTGTCATTTACTGTAAGTGCTCGGAATCATGAAGATAAGAGGCAACTAAAGTTTATTATTCTCCATGAGACCCAGTCCCAAAAATCTAGATTTCAATTTCGAAAAACGAATGCCACATAAATCTCTTGATAAGAAACTTCAATACTGGTGCATCAAGAGAGTAACCTGAGTATATCCAACGAGTAAAATAGAAATGTTAGTAAATTATTACGAGATACTTTCCAATGTCCTTAAACCAATATCTAGTCCCCTGTAAAAGAATTCCTGGAAACCCGCTTGCATAAGTTCATCCGGTTACGAATTCCAGAATATGGCCGTTCGCAAAGAGTAGAAATTGTGGTTGCAGTACATTTTCCTATGTCGTTCCTCTGGGTTCTGTCAAATTCCCCTAAGCTTTGCATCACAACTGAGAAAGAGCGTTTGGAAATCCACCGGTCGTCAGAAGGTCGCGCCTAAGACGAACAGACTCTAACGGCCTGAGATCCAATGACTCTAGGACTTCGTCATAGGATTTGAATTGGAGTCCATGAAAGGATATCATGGCACCCATTTGAGCAGGATCCAGTGTATTTTTGTTCATTTGGAGTGACAAAGGAAACACTGAATGAAACCTTTATGAAGTAGGTGGAACGTTGTACTGCCAAACTGGCCAAGAAAGAGCTTCAGTGCTACCAGTACAAGGTTTACTCGAATGGCATTTTAGTCACCATTGGCCTGAGGGTACCAAGACTCGTAGATCTTTTATGATTTCGCACACCTCTGGAGGGAAGTTAACCAGGCTGTATACATAATCCTTATCATGTCTCAGGTTGACCACTTTGCAATTTAAAGTGTTAAAAGTAAGTCGATTGTTATTCGCCTAACTTTGAAGTTGAATTGGACCGGAAACTATCGTAAACCAGAACGACCAGTGAAAAGCAAGGAGGGCAAAGTAATCAGCAACACTGAACAGAGAAGTAGGTGGGTATAGCACTTTAAGGAACTCTTGAGTCGACCAGCTCCACTGAACACACCCAACATTGAGGCAGCATCCACGAACCTCCCAATTATTATTAGCGCACCTACGACTGAGAAGATCAGTATGGCCATCAGACAAGTCGAGAGTGGCAAAGCAGCAGGACCAGACAATATTCCAGCAGAGGCAATGAAAGCAGATGTAGAAGCTACTGCGAGTTGGACCCTCTCGAACAGCCAGCTTATTCTTTTAGTTGCAAACTCCTCTCTAAAGCTTGACATCCTTAGCGAAGAAATAGTAGCTCAGATAAGGGAGGTCTTTCATATAAATTGAGAAGAGAAGTGGTCCTAGTACCGAACTCGGAAAAAGAGCCTAGTAAGAAATTCTGTAGGCTGTGGGAAACTAAAGTTAATCCCGACCTTAAGAAGTCGATCACTTAATATGATGTTAACCTTACGGTCTAAGATGGTTGTATTCTGTCCATCGTACTCAGTAGGTTGATTACAAATGAGTGCGCCTTCCTGCAGCAGATTTCAGTTTTTTGGACAGCGCTTAGAAAATGTAAAAACGACATGCTATCAATGCTACTCGAGGTGAAAATATAAATGTAGCAAATTGAAGTTGGCAGTAGTCCCACAACGTCTGTACGTATATGCTCGAATTTCCTGTCATGGTAAAGGAAAGGAACTAGTGAGGATCTGATTTCGCGATCTACTTTAACTTTTTGAAATCTTGCACATGCTTGTGCCTAGTTACGAACATCCCAGTAGATACTTTGATATTGGCTTGAACTACGGAATGCGAAATATTATGCATAGCTTCGAAAGCTTTTCGTTTAACGGCTACAGAATAAACGAAACATCATTCGCTACGCTTATCTCGTTCAATCGAATTTCTTCGAGTATCAAAGAAGTTGTGTTGATAGATCTTAATCTGCTCAACACGACATACATGTTTTACAATTCCGCTAGTTATTCATCAATAAATGGAGTGAGGGAGGAAACACTGAATGAAACCTTTATGAAGTAGGTGGAACGTTGTACTGCCAAACTGGCCAAGAAAGAGCTTCAGTGCTACCAGTACAAGGTTTACTCGAATGGCATTTTAGTCACCATTGGCCTAAGGGTACCAAGACTCGTAGATCTTTTATGATTTCGCACACCTCTGGAGGGAAGTTAACCAGGCTGTATACATAATCCTTATCATGTCTCAGGTTGACCACTTTGCAATTTAAAGTGTTAAAAGTAAGTCGATTGTTATTCGCCTAACTTTGAAGTTGAATTGGACCGGAAACTATCGTAAACCAGAACGACCAGTGGAAAGCAGGGAGGGCAAAGTAATCAGCAACACTGAACAGAGAAGTAGGTGGGTAGGGCACTTTCAGGAACTCTTGAATCGACCAGCTCCACTGAACACACCCAACATCGAAGCAGCATCCATGGACCTCCCAATTAATATTGGCGCACCTACAATTGAGGAGATCAGTATGGCCATCAGACAAATCAAGAGTGGCAAAGCAGCAGGACCAGACAATATTCCAGCAGAGGCAATGAAAGCAGATGTAGAAGCTACTGCGAGTTGGACCCTCTCGAACAGCCAGCTTATTCTTTTAGTTGCAAACTCCTCTCCAAAGCTTGACATCCTTAGCGAAGAAATAGTAGCTCAGATAAGGGAGGTCTTTCATATAAATTGAGAAGAGAAGTGGTCCTAGTACCGAACTCGGAAAAAGAGCCTAGTAAGAAATTCTGTAGGCTGTGGGAAACTAAAGTTAATCCCGACCTTAAGAAGTCGATCACTTAATATGATGTTAACCTTTACGGTCTAAGATGGTTGTATTCTGTCCATCGTACTCAGTAGGTTGATTACAAATGAGTGCGCCTTCCTGCAGCAGATTTCAGTTTTTTGGACAGCGCTTAGAAAATGTAAAAACGACATGCTATCAATGCTACTCGAGGTGAAAATATAAATGTAGCAAATTGAAGTTGGCAGTAGTCCCACAACGTCTGTACGTATATGCTCGAATTTCCTGTCATGGTAAAGGAAAGGAACTAGTGAGGATCTGATTTCGCGATCTACTTTAACTTTTTGAAATCTTGCACATGCTTGTGCCTAGTTACGAACATCCCAGTAGATACTTTGATATTGGCTTGAACTACGGAATGCGAAATATTATGCATAGCTTCGAAAGCTTTTCGTTTAACGGCTACAGAATAAACGAAACATCATTCGCTACGCTTATCTCGTTCAATCGAATTTCTTCGAGTATCAAAGAAGTTGTGTTGATAGATCTTAATCTGCTCAACACGACATACATGTTTTACAATTCCGCTAGTTATTCATCAATAAATGGAGTGAGGGAGGAAACACTGAATGAAACCTTTATGAAGTAGGTGGAACGTTGTACTGCCAAACTGGCCAAGAAAGAGCTTCAGTGCTACCAGTACAAGGTTTACTCGAATGGCATTTTAGTCACCATTGGCCTAAGGGTACCAAGACTCGTAGATCTTTTATGATTTCGCACACCTCTGGAGGGAAGTTAACCAGGCTGTATACATAATCCTTATCATGTCTCAGGTTGACCACTTTGCAATTTAAAGTGTTAAAAGTAAGTCGATTGTTATTCGCCTAACTTTGAAGTTGAATTGGACCGGAAACTATCGTAAACCAGAACGACCAGTGGAAAGCAGGGAGGGCAAAGTAATCAGCAACACTGAACAGAGAAGTAGGTGGGTAGGGCACTTTCAGGAACTCTTGAATCGACCAGCTCCACTGAACACACCCAACATCGAAGCAGCATCCATGGACCTCCCAATTAATATTGGCGCACCTACAATTGAGGAGATCAGTATGGCCATCAGACAAATCAAGAGTGGCAAAGCAGCAGGACCAGACAATATTCCAGCAGAGGCAATGAAAGCAGATGTAGAAGCTACTGCGAGTTGGACCCTCTCGAACAGCCAGCTTATTCTTTTAGTTGCAAACTCCTCTCCAAAGCTTGACATCCTTAGCGAAGAAATAGTAGCTCAGATAAGGGAGGTCTTTCATATAAATTGAGAAGAGAAGTGGTCCTAGTACCGAACTCGGAAAAAGAGCCTAGTAAGAAATTCTGTAGGCTGTGGGAAACTAAAGTTAATCCCGACCTTAAGAAGTCGATCACTTAATATGATGTTAACCTTTACGGTCTAAGATGGTTGTATTCTGTCCATCGTACTCAGTAGGTTGATTACAAATGAGTGCGCCTTCCTGCAGCAGATTTCAGTTTTTTGGACAGCGCTTAGAAAATGTAAAAACGACATGCTATCAATGCTACTCGAGGTGAAAATATAAATGTAGCAAATTGAAGTTGGCAGTAGTCCCACAACGTCTGTACGTATATGCTCGAATTTCCTGTCATGGTAAAGGAAAGGAACTAGTGAGGATCTGATTTCGCGATCTACTTTAACTTTTTGAAATCTTGCACATGCTTGTGCCTAGTTACGAACATCCCAGTAGATACTTTGATATTGGCTTGAACTACGGAATGCGAAATATTATGCATAGCTTCGAAAGCTTTTCGTTTAACGGCTACAGAATAAACGAAACATCATTCGCTACGCTTATCTCGTTCAATCGAATTTCTTCGAGTATCAAAGAAGTTGTGTTGATAGATCTTAATCTGCTCAACACGACATACATGTTTTACAATTCCGCTAGTTATTCATCAATAAATGGAGTGAGGGAGGAAACACTGAATGAAACCTTTATGAAGTAGGTGGAACGTTGTACTGCCAAACTGGCCAAGAAAGAGCTTCAGTGCTACCAGTACAAGGTTTACTCGAATGGCATTTTAGTCACCATTGGCCTAAGGGTACCAAGACTCGTAGATCTTTTATGATTTCGCACACCTCTGGAGGG